AGTTGAAGGAAGGACTGTTTATCACTTGTTTAGTGGCCAAACGATGGTAACCGTTAACGGGCTCGATGGCGAGCACGATGACGAGGTATAAAGGGTGGGGTATTTGGTCGCGGTGAGTGCTGTAGTAGTAGACACCGTCCTAGATAGCCAGTTCCAAATAGTAGAATAAATGTTTTTTATGTAAAACAAGATAACCTGATGTAAGGAACACATTTTATCCCACGCTTTCTCAGCTTCGAGGAAGTGATCGTTGTGCTCTCTGATCATCGATCGATTCAGCTGTCGACTTAGGAACATTATCAGCTAGGTTCAGAGACTACATTCCCCTTGAAACGACCTGTGCAGGATATCCGAGGTGCTCTCGCCACAGCTGTTGAGTGTGATCCGGGGGTTGTATAAGTGTATTACCATTGCTAATTCAGAAGTCAATACATTAATTATGGGATAGTTCGAAACTTCCTGAACCCTTTCGAAGTACTTTCGTTGGTTGGATACCGGAACCATCCACAACCCAGTCAATTGACCAATCAAATGAAGCCAAATGGCGAAACGGGCCCAGGCCTGTAGCCGCACCGCATCGATCGATGGACGTAGCCTCGAGGCCGGATGCGTGTAAGATTGTTGTCTTGACAAGTTGTTGTGCGCGTCCACTGAAATAAAGACGACAGCGGCGCCCATCGATGGGGCGTGGGTTGCGTTCTTGCAAGAAGCTGAAGCTTGAAGTTCTGAGTACTTCTTCGTTTCTTTTGTGCGGAGCGTAAATTCCGAGGAAATCAAATGTAATTACATGCCTTTTTCGGTCGATGATGTAACTGTATTTCACATGCCCTGGTCCGTGCGCAACTGATTTTGTATATAAGTGGCTCAGTTGGCAAGGTGTTTCCCCATCTCTTGTGCTCGGGCATGTACTGTCGCCAGTGAGGTCTTTACCGAGGCACAGTCTTTTGCTGATTGCAAATTACACATCCGAACCCGTCTGTTAGCTTCGGCTTTCAGCAATTTTTGGAACACCTTCATTTCAGGCTTTGAGCTTGAAGGCATAGATGTAGCGAAATTTATATATTTTATTATTCAATTCAATTTACTATTTGAAATTACTCCCTGGTAACCGGCAATTGATTAATAACAGGAGTCTCGGCTCCTTCTCCCCATCAGTATTCTACCTGGAACTAACATGAAAAGAAATCATGCAAATAGACATCATTTATCGCTTGCGACTGTCGAGATTTCGCACACCACTTCCTGGAGCAAAGTGAATCGATGAAGAGCGGCACGCGCATCAGCCAATCGTGCAGATTGGGCGAGGTACATATATCAGTTGGTCTTTCTTGCGTGCAGAATTATAAACCGCAGCGCTGAGGAAGCTGGCCGCCGATCTGAATGAAGAAGCCCTGTAGTCAGCATATATGATCCGAATGCTAAAAATCAACGCTAACCGTTTTAAAGACGCGGCGACATTTCTCTTGCCGAACTACGATGGGGTGGGTTGGATACGAGAGGGACTCAGAGGGAGGTTCGCTGAGCGTACGAATTAGTGTGACGACGAGCGAATTCTTTGCGGGCAAGCAATGTTGAATCACCCACCCAGAGTCTTGCGAAGACTCATCATGCACTCGTGCTGACCCTGCACGTTGCAGGTGAGCATATGTTCGGGCTCCTGAGCACGGTTCGACGTTGTCGAACTTTGATAGTCGACCCTCGTGAATTTTATCTAAGACCCACACGTGCACGGGAGTGCTGATGGATTCCTACTAAAACCAGAAACGACGATCCAACCCGAGGATGGGTGAGTAGGCGACTCATCCTCAAAGCGATTGCAGATACTGGCTCTTCGATCTCGAGAGCAAACATGCGTACCAAGCTTCTTGGCGCACCGAGATAGCTCCATATAGATGTTGGAGCCTTCAAGTTGATTGTCACCAGTCGACTTGTCAGTAACGTTATGGCTATTAGTTCATGAGTTTTTAAGAACTTCAGGTAGTAGTACGGCTTGCTCACCGATAAACGGTAGATGGGTTTACGCAAATCATTAGGATGTCATCGAGGTAGACTTGAATGTTCCGGTAGGTTTCATTCTGAGAAAGCTGTGGTGACACATGGCTGATACAGTTACAGCTATGGATAAGAACAATTTCCATTTTGGGAACCAAGGAAAACAGGTATCGCGAAATGACAATACCAACGGAAGCAGTTTACTCTGTTTCTGCTCTTGTTTAGGTTTCTCCCTCCCGGTTCTCCCTCCTCTTCATCAAGGCACTCACCAGGGATCGGCGCTCATCTTTTTCTTGCCGCTATCGACAACGTTGTTCTGCAGCAAGCTGCAAGGCTTCTAGCCCCCCGCCACCTGGACGTCCCTGTGCTACCCACGTTCTGGATCTTTCCCTAAGCCTGTCAAGGATAAACTCAACTTGTGCTTTTGACTAGCACATCATCATCATCATGCCTCTTCCAAGCGGCACGCCGTTGTCTCTTCAAGGACATTCTCGCCCTGGAGATACTGTCCAGACTAAGCCTAAGCACGCTATGATCGTCCGTATGTCGGCTGAAACATTAGAAGCTCTCGAGGACTTGTCCAGTAATCCTTTGATGAATTTCGAGTTTGGTGATACTCCAGTCAGTCCAAGTGCTTACGACTCAACCATATCTAACGCTCAATCTCAGGGTATTTACATCGGGGGGACATTCTTTCCAATGCGTCCTTTGAAAGAGAGTTCTCCACACGAAATCTATCTTAGGACATCCTCTGCAGCCAAGCCAAACGCTCCGTTGAAGCTCTATGCCAATGTCATGGGCAAATTCATCGTTGACCGACAGCTTGGCGAGAAAGTCACTGATAAAGTACGGCAACAAACCATCGAGGCGAAGAAGCAACATTCTGAGCGCCAAACCATCATGCTCGATGCGCCGCTTATATCTGCAGCAGGCACAAAGAACCTTAAGCGAAAAACACCAGGTTCTGGGACGGTGGTAAAGAAAAGCGCACAACGTGATACCCTCCATACCCCTGCTGCCTCCACCCCTGCTGCACGCAAAATCTCGCCGATACCACAAACCGTTTCGTCAAAGGCGAATGCAGATATTCGCAGGCGTCTTATCCACTTCCTTGCAGTTGAGAATCGCGAAACAGATTTGACGGTAGCCAGGGTTTGCGGGAGTAACTGTGATGCCTCTGCAAGGGCTAATCTACTCAGTATCTTAGAGGAGGTGGGTATGCATCACTCTACTTTGACTTTTTCACTCAATCGTGAATGTACAGGTTGCTGAGCAAGCCCCAGCCAGGAAAGGCGACAAGTCTCCTCGGAAATGGGGTCTCAAAAATCGTACATGGCTCGAAGTGCGTCCATACGAGTGGGAGATGTACAAACCGTCAGACCGGACCAACATCGCTCGACAAGGCAGAGTCGTGCTTAGTTCCCTCAGGATACCAGAGTCTGACTCTGTGTGGGATCATTTTCGCTTTCGAAACGTTGCACCTCCTACTGGAGCTCCTCCTCATCCAACTCACGGAGGTAAGACCATCACCGGCCCACCTGCAGGTCTTCTCAAGCCGAAGCCCGAACCAAAACGTCCTGCTATATCCAAAGATCTGAAGCAGAAAGCGAAGGCAGATTCTTCTCGAATAAGGGGCGATATACAGATGAAAGACGAGAGTGCGCGGCCAAGGGGTGACATACAGATGAAGGACGAGTCCGTTAAGCTCCCTAGGGTGGCCGCTATTAAGCGCGAAGAAGCCAGTCCATCTCCCAGTAGCAGCACTAGCACTAGCTCAAAGGCAGCGTCCAGACGATTACCGGGCTCTGGATACGTTGCCAAAAAGTCCCCTCAGCCTTCTCCTACCGTTGAGTCGGCATCTCGCGGAGCTGCAGGTCCAGCCGATGTTCGTCCTCAAAGACCTTTACCCCGCTTACCTCCCAAACCTGTCCCGGCATCCCTACCGCCACTGCCAAGTCAGGAGAAGACGTCTACCACTTCGATGCCAATGAAGATGACGAAGAAGATGCTTCCACCCGAGGATTCCGATAGAGAGCGCGAGAGACATAGAGATAAAGATAGACCGCAGAAGGATAGAGTTGTCGCTGGTGGGAAGCGGAAGAACGCTACCCATGATGTGGGGGATGCGCAGGACGGGGAGGGGCTCAAGGCAAACTCATTCAAGAAGCGCAAAACGGAAGATGGGCCATCATCTGCCGCATCTTCGTCTTCATTAAAAGGTCGAGACTTGTCTCTTCCAAAGAAGCCGGTCGAGGCCACGTCTCCTGTACCACCTCCGCCGAAGAAGATCAAGAAAGAGTCTTCTCCGCTCCCACCGCCTCGCACCGCCTTGCCGACGCAGCCACCACCTCTAAACTCGCCTTCCAAAACAGATCAACGACCGAAACTCAACGGAGCGTCAAAAGTCAGACGAAAGTCACCGATATATACCTCTTCGGATGAAGGAGAGATACCAGAGCCGCCACAGAAGTCCGCACAGGATCCTTCCACGAATACTGATCGCGCCAAGGGCAAGGAGGGACGTGCCCGCCCCCGATCTTCATACCCACTACCCTCTGATCGTAATGGGCTGCGCTCGCGATACCAGTCCAAGTACGGACATTACCTGGGTACATATGCCCAAATCCTCGCACAGAAGCGGAAGATCGAGGCCATCTTAAACGGAGAATCGGAAGCGGAAGGAGAAATCATGGATCCAGAGGAGCTGAAGAGGCTCAGTGCCGAGCACAAGAACCAGAAAGAGGAATTAGAGTCTATCCAGGATAAGTGGATGAACGGGTCTGTATCGGAATGAAATGGATCACATCGTGACTGTAAACTTGTTCAGGACTTAAGACGGACATGACCTATTCATCGACACTATCAGTATCTACCCCAAATTTTCTTGTTGTACATCGCTTTTCGTTCATTATTTCAGACTGTGCTATCGCAGAATTGCAGCTTTGAGAGCTATCATAGCATGTATACGCTGATACACAGACTAATTACGACTATTGTCTAATTTGGCTTGAATAAGCAATGTCCCATGCATCACCTACATCGGCGTTCGATCAGCTAGGAAATACGCATTAAAGAATCGGTCACACTCACTCTTCACTACCACGATGGGCGAAAAGTTCCGAACAGGCCAACATTATAAAAGACGCGAAACCTGAATTGAGAACCAGTTAACCGCAGATAGGGCCGTAAAGCCTTCTATAGGTCATGATCACTGGCATCCCTCCTCGAGGCACTTTGAAGCTGCGTATTCCTCGAGTTCTTCGATGCCGGCTTTAGCATCACGATCGTGTTTCTCGAACCACGCTTCGAGTATACGAAAGTAATTTCGACCGTTAATATGCCAGCTTCTGATGAGGGTCAGATCTGAGTGGAAGTACGTCTAAAGGATACTGATCATTAACGTTCATTGAGCTCGGCAGAATTATTGAGAACACGCACGAGAGGGTCGTGAGAAGGCATCGTCCCACCTGTGTAGGCAAATTTTAGTAAATAAACGTTTTAAAGGATGAACATCATGCCGGTGAAGAACGTTTGAGCCATCCATTCATCGTCCTGTTCGAAGAAGTGATATGTGGTCATCACGTGGCAGAACAAATGCACGAATAAAAAAAATTCGCGTGCATGATTTGAAGAGGTTGGATGTAACCAAGTGGATGTTTTTTGATGAAGCACCCATTCGTTCTGCTCCAGGAACAAACCTCGACGTTGTTCGGACCCTTTACTTTGGCAATAGCATCAGTATACAACCTATGCGTTGAGTTGGATAGACCTGTGTAACGGGAAGCCCGTGCAAGGGCCAGGGGACGAAGTTAGCAGGGGTGTGGAGACAGGAAGGACGTAGAGTTGGCAGGAGAGCAGAGCTAGAGCTGGTGCGAGACGAGCGTAGAGGGTCAGAGATCGGGGTCTCACGAGTTTCGGGGTCCTAGAGTACATATGTTGGAGAAAGCTAGCCTTATCGTGCAGTGGGCAGGGCGTCCTCGTCCTCTCCAAAGTGCAGGGCTGGCGGGTTCACCGGTGTTTCGTGGTTTTGGATGTATCTGGCAGCGAAGTTAAACATACAATATTTGAGAAACTGAGGTCGGCTCACCTGAGCAAGATAAATTGAGAGACGTAACCAAGGTCAAGGACATCCATCGCATCTGCTAGCTGTGCTTTGTCGCAGTAGTTTCCTAACATGAAAAATTTCTGCTTGTGCCAGTGTTTCGTGGCCAGTCAGAAATAGACAAGAGGAATGTTTGGCGTATGGACCTAGGCAGGATATAGTCAACGTCGTAGGCACCTGTCAGCGCGTACGAAACATTAATCAAGGCTTTTAAAATTTACAGGGAAAAGCTGAGCTTATACCTCATGATGTTGCTCATCGGCTGTCTGCATGGAGTCTGCATTTGAGGTGCGCGCGAACATCCTTGATTTGTTTCATCTTGACAGTACAGTTGAGTTCAAACGATTGATGATTAATTTATCGTAGTCGTTAATGACACAGAACGAAGCCTGGCCAGACCCGTCCATAGTACGTGTAGTTGATGAGTTATGATGTCACCGAGACAAAATCCACTCGCTCGCCGCGTCGAACGGGTTCAGGCTGTAAGTGAATTTCCCCGTAACGTCATGGATCACGCTGGAAGACATGGGTCAAGCCCTGTCAATCCTACACAGTCCATATGGCTCTTAAATGCTTTGCTGCCAGGCAGGGGATGGATCGTGATTCGCCAGCCCATAAATGGAAAGCATCTTGCAGAAAAGCAGCCTGAGCCCGTTATGCTGACCGCAGTTAGTGATATACTCAACGGCGATTCGAAGCTCTCGGCAGTTGGTTTGCGGACTCTGGAGATGGCTGACTCTGAGCGTATTAATTCTGTAATTTGCCAATAGCTATATGAACCCACATAATATAATTTGCTTACTACTGCATCTCCAATTTGATACCACTATCGCCCCAAGTTTAGCGGAGATACTTGTGTCAAGCTCTTTGATACATTTTCCCAAGTTCTTAAAGCCGTCCCTCATATCCTTCCCCTACTTCTCAAGCAGTGACTGGTGCAAACATAATTGTGCATCATGGACAAGATGGGGGACACTCTTGACCGTCATGACTTATGATGGCCATGATTGTCTGCCATTTTGTCCAACTTCGCAATCAAGATTTTGAAATGGCAGCCAAACTTGGATTACAGCGCCTTCCAGGCCTGCGCCTGGCTATCATGGCTACGGTGCGTGTCGATATAGACCTCGCAGCCTGTGGTAATCAATATTAAATTCAAAACTCAGGTTTTATTAGTACTCACTCATAGCATCCATTGCTAGATCCTGTCAATTATTCCACCCAATCGAGTCTTGGTCACCCGAGGAATACTGTCACATGGGATATAATTGGTTGCCAGCACTATGCGTAGCAGCTATAGTGTGGAGTCTGGACGGATGAATGGACGTTCATAACGGGAAGTTATGGTTGAGCAGAAAAGCAATCGTGAGAAATACCTTCCTATAATACGTTTGTCTTGACTTTTCCTCCTTCGCCATGAACATGCGCGCAATGCCCAACATGTCCGCAACATCCTTTGCGTTCAGGACTCTCGGAGTCCACTTTAGCAAGCGCACAAATGCAAGTTTAGTATTGCACACACGTCGTGAATCTCTTCGCCCTGATATCGATCGCTACAATACCATCCGCTTGTTTTTCCAGCGGCAGCTTGCAACACATACTTCTACGCCAGTGACACCACTGCCAGCCTGCAGGAGATCAACGTTCCACACGAGTTTTACTCCAAGTTCTTCTAGATTATTGGCCAGACGCGACTTCCAGGAACTGAGGTCACTTCGGTCGCGCCATGATCATTCGAGCAGGGAAGAGAAAGGTAACATACACGAGAGCGATCACTCCAGCCAGGAGAACAAAGCACAGTCCCCCGGCTCCGCTCGTTCTGTTCAAGGCGATTTGGAACAAAATACAGATGTTCATCAACCCCCTCCACCATTAAATCTCGACAACTATCCCCGTCTGTACCGCAGATTAGCTCTATCCCTTTCTCACCTTCACCGCCCCACACGAGACGACTTCCTGAAAGTAGCCAATGGGTTTTGGCAACGCCTACGGATCCGCTTCAAGTGGTTTACAATACGTTCTTTTCGGAGATTTAACGCAGATGATATCTCCGCTTTCATAACATGGTTCCTAATGAGCCAAACTCTGTGGATATTGGTCGGAACGTGAGTTCAAAATATCTGGTCTGAATATCTGATGACTTATCCTATTCAGAACGACATTCTTTTCCGTAGTTTTTGCCACTGCTAATAGTCTGCAATTGCAAGGTATGTGTCTTCCCTATGCAATCATACGCACATATCTCACTAGAAATTGCAGAATATGTAGCACGCGCCATAAGTAACTACCTTACCAGTGAGACTGGCGTCACAGTCATCTTTGAATCTGCTATCGTTCCTAAATGGAAGGACTCTCGCATCTCCTTCAAAAATGTATATGTCTCCCGCAGATCATCGTCTGCCACCCGTCCACCAGCGCCAAAAAAACATATTGGACATAAAGCGGCCGTTGGATATGATGTCAGCAGCCACCCCGCATACAACTATTTTGTGGATGACGACGAAGAAGTAGTTGAAAGTCACGCGGAGGATGATGTCAACTATTCCATGTTTGACCTCAACGTAGACTCCATAGATGTCACTTTGTCACTCCAGCACTGGCTGAATGGCAAGGGCCTTGTGGAGGATGCTGTGATCAAAGGCGTTCGCGGAGTACTAGGTCAGTATCTTTGTCCATCGGACATCAGCTTGAACTGAAGTTGTAAACAGATCGTCGCTCTGTTTTCTGGGACCCAGAAAACCCACTTGACCCGGCTGCATTCCGTCATGTTGGTCGCCAAGGCGACTTTGAGATAAATTCTCTACAGCTCGAGGACATCCTTGTGACCGTGTATCAACCGGGCGATTTTAGGCCTTATACTGCTTCAATTTTTCGTGCAGACATAAGAACTTTCCGGAAACAATGGCTCTTCTACGACTTTTTGTGTGCGGAAAACGTCGTAGGGCAGTTCGATAACTGTCTATTCAGTTTGCACAAACCTCAAAGCATCGGCCGAACTACCGAACAGGATCTCAAGGATGGCAAATGGTCGCGGATGGTAATGTGGATTGACCCCTATCTCTGGTCAGTTCTGACACGTTAATTATAGTCTAGGATTCGCATTGATGGCGTCAATATTGATCACATGCAAAATTCCACGACATTGGAAGGCGGTCCCTTGTCGTGGATAACGTCTGGCAAAGTTGACGCAGTGCTAGATATAAAATTCCCTAGGGACGCAGAAGACGAATTTGCGTTGAATGCCATTCTCGGTGAGCTCGCGGATGCCATCACCACGGCGGCTACTGCCTCTCTACCCGTTGAGAGAATACCGGGGCAGCGAGAGCTCGCAAAACCACCTCTTACTGCACCTACGACCGATAACGAGAGCGAAGCCAATGATAGTCCTAAGGTCGTCATCGACATAGATTTGCGATTTAGGGATCTCAAGGCTGCTGTTCCGTTATTCACATCAAATCTCTCATATGTCAATAGCGCACTAATAAGACCTATAGTGGCGTTCATGAAGTGAGCGAAATATTCTATCTGCGCTTGATTGTTTCATTGATTTGTCCAGCGCACATCATACTTTGGTTCCTATTCACTGCAGAGTAGTTAAAGATTTGAGTGATTATGACGGCGCATGGACTGTGAGTATCTTTCCGGAGTCTTCGCAATTTCGTTCAAACTAATAGGTTTTGTAGATGTGGGAGAGTATGTTGTACTTCTTATGTAATAACCTACTACCGCTAATCGCCTCCTATTGTAGCTGGCCTCATGGATGAAATTTCACAAAAGGTAGAAATAATTTGATTACTGATCAGCGTGATCTGATACGCTTGCTTTAGATATACGATGCGCTCGCTTATCACGTCTCCCAAGTCAACTTGAACAGGCGAGTAAAAGCAGTCAGCATGTGGTCATTGCAGATGACTGCCAGCGCTGTACTGTCTGCACTGAGGAACCTAGTGGACCCAGTGTCTATGCAGGTTCGGGATCTATACTACGTGAACGGCGTTCCATATGGCGGCTTAGTTCCTGGACCGTAGACTGGTAATTGTTTTGCAGCTATCGACGGAACTATTTTCAGCTCACTCCATATGACGCCTCTATATGTCAAACAGGGATTCTACGAGACACGTTCATAAACACGGTTTGATGGTCCTATTCTTAGTCGTGTTTTCTAACTTTTCAATTGAGATGTTTTGACATGGGAGTCAGAAAATTGCCAAGGGATCCCATAACAATATTGATTTGATGCCCATCTAGTTTACGACGATGATAACGGTCGCTTCTACTCCTTCAATTCGACGGGCTTTCGAAGGCCTTGGAACGTAACTCGATGGTAGCGTATTACGGGCAGTATTTGACCATTTCTGCCAGTGGAAATGAGCGGAATTACCAATGAACAGAATCAACGCCAATGGTCGGACACGGCGGAGAGAAAGTGATGGAAACAACATTAGAAACCTTACTAATGTCTGCGATACGTGCATATCACATCATCGTCAAGTTCTAACACTGATAGGTTTTGGCACAAGTGTTTCTCTCGCAAAAGCTAAGCTACCGTCGCCAAGTTGACTTTGCCATGCGGCCATATTAGAGACCTCTTGATTACTGGCCAGGTCTTTGTGTGATTTTGCCGTTTTCACAAGCATTTCTTGCGTGTATCGAGAGACCTTCACGGATGAGTGAGTGATGCCATGAACCCTGAGACCTGGCGGACCTGTATTTGTATTGCTCACAATGACAAACAGAAATCAAAAGAGGGGGTCATGCGTGGGCCAGTAATGCATCATTACGTGGAGCCCCCAACTTCCTGCAACTCCTTTTAGCATTGTGATGCTCTTCTGCAGGTTGCTAAATTCCAATTATTTACGATTTCTCTATTTGTGTCAACAAGTGTTGGCGCCGCAGACCGAGACCATTAATGTCTGTTGTTCTCTTCCGAGACGGGTTTTCTAATTCTGACATGTTGATCAGAGATTCCGCCGGAGTCCCCGTGGGCTCCCCTTCTCTCTCGGTTTCTTTCTCCCCCGCGCATAGCGGACCGAAGTGTGGATGAATGCGTGTAGGGGACCTGGTGGAGTCTCCTCGTTGGTAATTGTACCTTTGTTATCAGATTGATAAGTGCTCATTATGCCACGCTTCAGCTATAAAGCGTATCATGTTCTAAACCTGAACATCAACTTCCCCCTCCTTGCAATACATGCTCCAACCACTGCATTCAAATTCGATTGAATCCAAGCAAGAGGATGGGATTGTCTCTGACTTGACCCTCGTTGGATCCCAAGGTCGCGTTGGATTCAGAGGTCTTTTTGAAAATAAATTCCTGTGAGTGGTTTTGGAGGATAACATGGATTTAAACGATGGGATATATTTGTGGTGCAGACTTGGTGTATCGTTATTCTCCACTCTCGGAGGATTCGTGAGTTTTTTGGTTACAGTATGGATGACCGTCAGTAACATTGTGCCTTGTCGCGTATATTCAACAGCTCTGTGGCTACGCCCTGGTAAGTTGGGCAGTGTCCTCACATTATACTAGTCTAATTATCTATCAGGGGGTCCTCCCCGACGTGCTCGCCATTGAGTCGTTTGGAGCGAAGTTCCCAGAGATATACACGAATGCAATGCTGAAGGTAAGGTTCCAATAGATTTCAGTCCTCTCAGAGTAAAAATACTTTTAGGGATGGTTTGTGTCCACATTTCTGCTTGGCAAGTCAACGTGGCATGCCGCAAGCGTCTGCTAGCTGATGTACGTCCGCAGCTGCCTGGTTCGGAGCTAACGTGAGCGGCCCTGTCTGTGACAAAGTGAGATCTATTATTCGGCCAGACAATCTGACGGTCAAATTATGATCGACTACAACCCAGATCGGACGAAAGGTTAGCATAATATGCGATGCTGTGATCTTCATTCTCGGTAGTTTACTCCAAGCATGTGCCATGTCTCCCGGTAAGTTTTGTTTGTCACTTTTCTTGGCTTCGCTGAAGATCATTTTGCTAGTTCACCTGTTCGCCGGTCGCGCTGTGGCTGGTTTGGCAGTCGGTTCTCTGACGCATGTCGTCCCAATGTATCTCGCTGAGATATCCTGCGCCAGAATTCGTGGATCATTAGTTTCTCTGCAACAACTCGCTATCACATTCGGGGTGAGTGAAACAACCAGCGATGAGGTCATGCATCTGACGCTACAAAATGTAGATTCTTGTCAGTTGTGCGTGGCAGTCTGCTTTCGTATGTTTGTATGTGCTCATTACTTGAAGACGGGATCGTGTATGGCACGTCACATATCGGGGGAACCCGATGTGCCCCGGAAATACCGTACACTGGGACGCTTCCGAATGGCAAGCTTGTGTTCAATCCTGACACTGACGTCCCTCCTGGCGGTTGCACTGGTCAGACACAAGCGTCATGGAGAGCTCCGCTTTCATTTCAAGTATTACCTGCTTTGGTATGTTGGCTATATTTTCTGCCTCTCCCTCATACCTATGGAAGTGTAGTGTCTTGCCATAGGCATGCTCTTCATGCCATACTCGCCCCGTTGGCTCGCTGAGAGAGGCCGAGAGGCGGAGGCTCTGGACACCCTGTCGCGTCTTCGACGGAAGCCCGCTCAAGATTGTTCGGTTCGCACTGAATTCCTGGAGATCATGGCTGAAGTTCGGTTTGCAAGAGAGGTCATGGAAGCGGCATATCCTGACGCGGGGCCAGTCAGGCAGATAATCAATAAATACTTGGTGTTGATGTCTGGCTGGCCAAAGTCCAAGCGACTGGTGGTTGGATGTCTCATTATGACGTTCCAACAAAATATGGTGGGCTTTCAAATCATAGGCTTTTCTTATCGTGTAGCGATTTATTGTGGGTTGTCAGGGGGTGACCGTAAGTCGTGGTTCATCCTCCTGGAACTAACATTGCTTATTTTGATTAAGATTCTTCTCTATTTCTTGCCTACGAGTAAGTTTTACAAAAAAATTTGATTGTTGAGTCCAAAGTTCACTTTTGTCCGTAGTTTTCAACCAACTGGGCCTTAACCCTAATACTACCTCCTTACTTGCCACTGGGGCTTATGGGATTGTTAACGTGAGTTCAAGTATAGATAATGTCACATATAAGTCTCTTATTTTGTTTCAAGATGCTCGCCACTTTACTCGCTATCGTTCTTGTCGATAGGGTGGGCAGGCGACCTGTGTTAATATCTGGTGCCGCCGGCTGTTTGCTTTGCCTTGCAATCATAGGCGCTATCGTAACCATATATGGCAAGGATTGGCCAGCGCATGTAGTAGCGGCTCATACTGCCATTGGTGGGTGCGCTGTAATTACCTACAGAACATGATGAACTGTGTCATAGTCTTTGTGTTTCTCTACGATGCCATCCTCTCTTACTCGTGGGCTCCGATGGGATGGGGTGCGTGACTCGTAATTTATTTCTTTCGAGGATTTAATATCTTTGACAGTTATTACCAGCGAGATATTCCCGTTGCACCTCCGGTCCAGTGGTATGTCCATTACTACATCGGTCATGTGGTCATCGTACTTGTGCGGTTTCATTATCTTCTTCGGTATATCTGGTATTGACTGTCGTCATGTTAATTAGCACTGCTGGACTCTTTGCGCCGACGATGCTGAATCCACATGCAGGTGGAATGGGGTACTGGTCATCTGCCGCGTTTTGTCTTGCCGCGTTACTCTCAGCTAGTACGTCAAATCCCCAAATCGTGTCAAAAAGTATGTTTAGCTCGCTTTAAAGTGTCGTTTATCCCAGAAACTAAGGGTCGGGTAAGTTTTTTACGTTCACATGTCCTGTTGAACATAGCTGACGATACTGAACAGACCCTGGAAGAAATGGGCCCTGTATTTCGTGATAATACTGACAGTCAGCGAGAACTCAAGGAGGGTATTTCCCGGGAGCTTGGTCTGCCCGACCGGGCGTTTTTGAATGCTCTGTAAAGAAATTTCTGTCTGGCCCAGGTCATCATTTCCTCATTAAATCGATTCATTCATCATGTATATTATGAACTCCTTTTGTCTTTTTCTATCCTCGACATGGTCACGTCTGGGTTTTCCAAGCTTTGAAGACGAATGATTTCGCGCTGTCTGGAATGAGTTCCACTTCCGCTCTCTTTCAGGTACTTAGCCCTGTAAAAGGTAGTACCAGTACTAGTACTCATTCACTGGTACTACTTAGCCTGTTTGAAAGTTCATCCTGCAAAATCCGGTGCACCAGGGAACAATTTCAGACTGGTGTGCGAGTCGGGTTGGCTTCACCCTACACGCGCTGTCATGGTGTAGCAACAAATATTATCACGGAGTTTAAGTTCGAACACCGACTGCTAAGCCAGAATTCCCATCTCATCCACATCCCCCAAACCTGACTAGGACTAGTCGACTAGCCCCCCTTCCCAAGTCCCATAATATTCAGACAAGTTTACGATGCGATTCCCATTACGGTGGAAATCCCTCGTACACACGTCAGTAATATGATTTTCAAACATCATAAGACAGGTACGTACCACGTATTATTCACTACAGCACAGTCACAGCGCTAGTAGTGTACATGGTTACATCGGTGTCCGTCACTTGGTTGGCCCGTATGGATATGATTAACGTTGTGAGGCTGACAGCAATCTCAATTATGAAAGAGCATGCGAGGGATTCCGTTATATATTGAGATTGACACGAGAGTCGGCCAGGGACTGTTCCGAGGTGGTCTGAACGTTACTTGTCGGTGAACGGCGCGCGGTGTATTGTGGTGCTGTCAATCAAACATGCAGCTGCGCATCCTGAGACCATAGGGAACCGATTTTCCATGAGTTTCTTAGTGGGAACATCCATTCTTGCTAGATTAGGCTAATACCAGAAATTTGAAGGCTGGTAGCCGGCGTGCCAACGTTCAGTCAAAATTTGCACACAACAGGAACAATAAACATCGATCTGCATTCATCGCGACCACATACACTACAACCAAAGAGTAAAAACCTAACACCCTACGGAGAAGGATGGAGACCCAATCCTATCCACAAAGCAGCCCAAGTCTCAGTTCACAACCGCACTCAAGCGCTCACCACACACAAGCTCACTCGATTTCATCAAACCCTAGGGCGAGAAACAAGTAGAACGTATGGTGGGAGACAGCGTCGAGGAAGAAGTGCCAGAGACAAAAGGAGTTTGTGGGAGAGAGGGGGCGGAACAGGGGAAAAGGGGTTGGAACGAATAAGCCGGATGTAGGTGTAGGCGTAGGTAAGTGTGGGTGCGTGACAAAAGCGAGTGATGCCAAATACAAAAAAAAAGACGAAGGCGAGGAGACCAGGAGGAGCCAAAATAAAGCAAGGTAGAGTAGGAGATAGATAGAACATAGACAGCTTTATGGGAACGAAAATGATGATGACGAGTCCGATGAGTGATGAGATGGATGCGAAAGACAATAACAATGATAGATATGTCGCGGAAACCGATGATGTTGATCGAGTGCTTGATGAAGGGTAGTCTAGAGAGGTTCATCAGATCAGTAGACGCTAATCTCGTCCCACACCAGCGCATCCGAGAAGTCGGCGTCAACATCGAAGGTAGTGTTCGAGTCCATAGCGATGTCCTGCGTACTCGGCAGCATCTCTAGCAGTCTTTCTATTCCCATCTCTACACTGACTTGTTCCGCCCAGTTAGCTGTGTTAATCCCACTCGTAACCAGCCCTAGGCCGGCCTCCTCCATCGAAGTGGGCTCACTCAGCACCTGCGTGTTGTTCGCGTCTTCTGCCGAAGGGCAAGTGCCTGGAAGAGCGCAAGTGCCAGTCGGCGGCGACGCGAGGATCTCTGCGAACAGGCGCGTAAGGGCTGCGTCTGTGGCTGCCTCATCTTCAGGCTAAGACAAAACAGTATGAGTTTGATTATATGTTTAGGAGTGATAGGTAACTGACCTCGATCGCAGCACTGTTGTACATCTGGATGCCCTCGTCGGTCCTGTGATTAGACGTATGCTGCCCACCCGCTGCAGGGACACTGCCGCGTGAACGGTAGTGGTCGCCACCCGTGCTAGGTGGCGAGTGGGAGTATGTGTAATCAAGGAGAGGTCGAGAGTTTCCTGTGGTGTGTCAACAGGTGCTGGCGAGTCGGATGGCGTGAGATCTGAAAGAGTAAATGCGGGACTGGGTGGGAAGTCGAATGAGTCACCCAAAAACAGCATGGGGCTGTCCGTGAGCGTAGAATGCGTTGGTGCAGGAGAAAGTGGGTAAGAAAGGGTTGCTAGGGATGTCGATTTGGGTGATGAGGGGGTTGGAGATGCAGAGTCTGCTGTTGAAGGAGATTTTGGCGACGCAGGTGATGGTGCGCAAGCGGATGAGAGGATTGGAGTCGAGCTTGAAGTCTCGTGGAGAGCAGGCGGGTTGGCGCCTTGGGTTGCCAAGGTCCGCAACACTGCCTCATAACCCATCTCTAGCGTTCGAATGCGTTCGCGCAACTCGAAATTTTCGCGTTCTCGTTGTTCCTCGGCACGTTTTCGCTTGCGCTCCTGCTCAATGGTAACAACCTCGGACTCTGAGGTGGAGCTGGCCGAGGGTGAAGCAGGGATGGTGATGGGGACACCAGCGCGAAGACGTCTATTCTCTTCCTCGAGTTCATTGACTCTACGCTCGAGAAAGGAATATTGAGCTTTTCTGCGGTCACGAGAGTTTTGTGCCGCTATGCGGTTGCGGTGTGCACGGGCCTCTTTGCGCTCTTCCGGTGTTACGGCTGAGCGAGGGCGCTTACGTGGGGGCTCCTGTATAGATACATCAGGAGAGTCTGCATGAGATGATGAGGGAGATGCAGGACGCTTGAGGAAGGAAGAGGAAGGAAGAGAAAGACTGGATGGGTCGACGAAATTTGTTGAGTGTGGTGGTGACATGGTTCCACGTATGCAGTCAACTAGGCGAAGGCACTTAGGAGTCTTTGGTCGTATATATCGTTAAAAAGAGTGCTAGAGTCAATGCTAGGAAAATCGAGTGCAGGACGACGTGGCCATGAAGAGAAAGTACACGTACACAGAACACGTAGACAAAACTATAAACACAGCCACAAATACAAATAAACTGCGCAGTCGTCACCTGATCATAACGCGCAGCCCCCTGGGCCTGAGTGCCAATGATACTACTTGCATCTAGATTCTCAGATCCCTGGCACCGTCGGCGGAGGCATCGATGAGTCATATACCACTCGGTTCAGTATGTACGTTTAAATGGTGGGATTGCCTTGCATTCATTTTCATCCAGAGTCTTGTCAATGACACCGCGGTACTTGACAGTGACGTCGGGCAAGTTGATATCATCCTGCCACGTAAGAGTATGCTTCATCCAGTTGTCATCATCACGCTACAGATACAGGTTAAGCGGATCCACTGCAATGATATAAAAATACCAACCTCAGGGTAGTCCTCACGAGCGTGAGCACCTCGGGACTCCTTACGAGCTGCAGCTGCCGTCATAGTTTGGACTGCACATTGTAAAAGGTTGCGCAGCTCAAGAGTCTCGACAAGATCACTAAGATACTGACGTGAGCGAGGATTCAGAAAAAATAAATAACGACTGTACGAGTTCCAAATCATGCTTCTATCCTTGATACCAATATTGTCAAACGATTTGTATATCTGACGGATCTTCTGAACGCCTTCGTCGAGACTCTGCTGTGTGCTACGTGGATCATCATTTTCGTTGTTGGTTGCATGAAAATGGCAGAACACACCGGAAAAGAGCGGCATTAGATTGCATGGCTTTTTGCATCTCCAGCCTTATATTGGCAGTAGGCTTTGGGCCATTTGCATTTCTGATTCGGTCCAAGAACTCAACAGACTCGAAGCCAGCTTCCTCAGGAATAGCCTTATGAGGCTTTCCGGGAGTCAAGTTCTCCATGATATGACGAGCACACGCGCGACCGAAGACGACGAGATCCAAGAGGGAGTTTGCGCCAAGACGGTTCGCGCCGTGAACCGACACACACGCAGCCTCACCGGCTGCATACAGACCAGGGACAATCTTGTCCTTGCCATTCTGACCATGGTTTGTGAGCGGACGCGACAAGCACGACTAGCACAAGCTCACCTCATCAACAGTCAGCACCTCGCCAGTATATCGGGTGGGGATACCACCCACTGTCCGAAAGTCAGCTAAAGTCTGGACAGCACAGTGGAGACATTAACTGTTGTAATGGACAGTAGGTAACACTGGAATAGGCTCCTTTGAGACATCGACTCCGGAAAAAATAGCAGCAGTCTCGGATATACCGGGTAACCTCTCGTGGAGAATTTCAGGGGGTAAATGGCTGAGCTGAAGGTGTATGTGGTCCTTCTGAGGTCCAACACCACGTCCTTCACGAATCTCAATCGTCATCGAACGAGATACGACATCACGGGAAGCAAGATCCTTGGCAACGGGTGCATAACGCTCCATGAAACGTTCACCCTCGGAGTTCAAGAGGTAGCCTCCCTCGCCGCGACAACCTAATGCAGGTTCAGCCACGAGAAGACGGATATCTCATAGAAGAAATGACCCTCAGAAATAAGGCAGCCAGCGCCATAGATACCAGTCGGGTGGAACTGAACAAACTCCAGATCCTGCAAAGGAAGCCCAGCACGAGCGACCATTGCATTACCATCGCCCGAACAAGTGTGTGCACTCGTGCAGCTGAAATACGCACGACCGTAACCCCCTGTCGCGAGGATTGTTTTGTGAGCTCTGAATCGGTGGAGCGTACCGTCCTCCATGTTGAGCGCGATGACTCCAACACATTCGCCATCCTGCATAATCAAGTCCAGGGCAAAGTATTCAATGAAGAACCTTGTATTGTGTCGAAGCGACTGGCCGTAAAGGGCGTGGAGGAGGGCATGACCGGTACGATCGGCAGCCGCAGCACAGCGGTATGCTTGACCGTCTTTGCCATAATTCAAAGAATGACCGCCAATGGCACGTTGGTATATCTTCCCATCCCTAGTACGAGAGAATGGAACGCCATAACGTTCAAGCTAGAAACGGATATAAGTCGAACAAACAGATATGTGAGATCTAACCCTACCTCAATAACTGACCCGGGAGCTTCGCGACACATATAATGAATAGCATCCTGGTCACCAAGCCAGTCCGAGCCTTTAACCTGTGGAAAATCAGCTCAATTACATGACTGGGGAGCATAACACATCAAAGGACACAAACCGTGTCATACATGTGCCATCGCCAGTCGTCTTCTGTTATATTCTATAGGAAACTCATCAGTGAGAAGACCGTAAAGAACTCAAGGTGTACGTACACCTAAAGCAGCATTGATACCACCCTTGGAAACGTGATATATAAGCATGTCAGACACTGCTGAACATCGCTGCAACATACCTGTGCTGCGACAGTGTGGCTCCGTGTTGGGAATAGCTTGGTGATGCAAGCCGTGTTGAAGCCAGCTTCCGCAAGACCGAAGGCAGCACGAAGGCCCGCGCCACCAGCACCACTACAGTGACACGTTCTTAAGTTTGTCGATTTCTTATCAGTTTGGAACACTACTTAATACTCACACGACGATAGCATCGTACTCGTGTTCGATAAGAGGATAATTGCCTGAAGACCAGGACTAAAAAGCCGTTAAGATGCCGGAAAAGACATGGGAACTGCCAGAGAGATGTACCTTGACGTCCTCTGCCTTGATCGGATTAGTCGCAACGATTCTCTTGACGGGGAGTGAAATGGAAAACCCGCGCTGGGAACGAAGCAAAGCCCTAGAAGGCACCACCTTGAATACTGACTTCCTAAACATTGATGTGCACTGTCGTCGACGGCAGCGAGGGTTACAAATGAATGAGCAACTTCCACAGAAAGGTAGGTAATTCCGTCAGCCGAAAACGTTCACGGCACACCATTTGAACAAATCCCGTATTTAGCCTAGGCCCTATACATGTCGCGATCAAGTGACTCAAGTCCAACCAATCACAACGGGAGTGTACGTAGCAAGAGAAGTCACCAACTTCCCAACTAGTTCGGACTGCGCATGTTTCCTAAAACCCCTCATCTTGACCTCGCGAACAGGCATCCCCGCCGCCTCCCTGATCTGCAATAGTTGGAGTAGCAACGACCACTCGAACTGCATATCATCAAACAAAAGTGTCCGCAAATTCGGGAATGCATCTCGTCTCCCCGCACATGACAGGAAGCCCATCAGCTGGTTCACGATACACTTGGAGACTGAGAGTGTCGTTATGCCTGAGAATGCATGGGCAAGGGCATGCCACCCGTCGTATGCCATGGACCTGCTACACAATGTGAGAAGGCGTACAGAGGGGAAGGGCGGCGCTCCACGGTTCAACTTGTCCACGAGCGACTGGAGATCACGTGATGAGGTCGCAGTGTGGAAATCCAATACCAACTCGCGTAGCGCGGGGGCACGTATTGCCCGGAAGATGGTAGGCATATACGTCCTGGAAATATTTGGTCCGGGTTTGAGGATCATTGTCTGGAGTACAGGTAATTCGACGACTGGGATATCCCTGCTGCGAACATAATCCACTGGTTCACCGATCAACGTGAGATGAGTCAGCGAAGTGAGATGAGAGAGCAGGTTGCTGAAATTCTCAGGGGAAAGACCGGAAACCCACAAGCCATTTAAGGTGAGCGCCGTAAGGCGGTCTGCAGACAATAACAAGTCTGAGGAGGTGGGATGAGAAATTTCCTAGTTGGACAGACGTGAGTGAAGGCAGACCTTCGGTGAACAAGAGATGTCTGCTATTCGGGATGTCAAGCGGATAGTGCACGATGAGTTCTTCCAGCATTGGTGCCCTTATGTGCTTGAACCCATCTAGAAGTTTTGGGAATGGGAAAGCCCCGTGAACTTCCAAGCGGCGACAGACATGAATGTGAGAAAGAATAATGCAGGATATGCGCAAACAATCTGGGTCAAACTCAGGCAAGCCCTGACTGTGAATGCCAGTGAATCGCATGTCAAGCAGCTGTCCTTGCGAGCGGGTCAAGTAAAGATTGACGAGATCTACATTCTGCCGGAGGAAAAGTCGAATCTCTGTCCAAAGCAACGGCATCCCGAGCGCCACAGCTCTCCAATGCTGTGAAACACTCGCAAGCAGAAGCTCAGGCCTGGGGCGGAGGCGTAAACTGGTGGGGACGCATGAAGAAGAGGAGTCTTCATCTGCTTTAGTTGCTTTGACTGTCTCTACAAATATCATCTCGAGGAGCTCGTTTGGAATAAACGAGATATACGACACGCCATACGTCACTAGTGCCTGGTTGAGGCGCAGCGCCTGTGTGTCCACGATGTGGTACAATAGTCGCTTTGTCTTCCCCGGCAGTCTTGCAAGGTCTTGCGTCATAGCGACACACTCAACTTTGGGTGTTATAATCCTAATCCACCAATTTCATAAGCATGCACATACACAAAGCAGGTCACTCACATTGTCCCCCTCCTGGTAGTCTTGGTGGAAGAGAGGCTGGTTAGTTGTTCTCAGCATTGAGAAACCACGCGTTTTATAATATACGATAACATGCAGGCACCGGGTACCTATTTCACCCAATCATCAAGTGACACCGGACTTGATGAGGCATATCTCCAGGGCTTGCTTACCCGACTTAGGGGGACGGAGACGAAGAAGCGGCAAAACGGGCTCAGTGAAACTTGTTATCTGCAACATGAATGTTCTACTTTTACGTGAACTTTGGTGGAAATGAGAGTCCGCGTTGACAACAAGCGGCATATTCCGTGAATTATGACTAACCCGGAATGAGCGCTTTAACGACCCTTGTTGACTAGTACCTGCGCCTGCACAGGGACGCTCGTTATAGTCTCACACGGTCAACGCCCATATGACAGTCTCCTGATTCAATAACCATCATATAGTAATTTTCTGAAGTTCATGCTGTGGCGGTAGGAGTATGATCTTGATTCCTCCAACGGCACCGCCATTCTTCAACATATGATTGGTCGGATTCTTCAAGCTTAGTATGAACATGCAACCCTCTTGAAGCTTGAGGTGTGGTCTCCATCCCAGACTCAAAGATGACGTCTCGCTGAAAGCATTTCCTTCAAGGTCGGATCAAAGCTGCGCCGGACTTCTTTTCCGCAAGTGCTTCACGGTCAGACTTGTTCCTTGAACAGAGACACATCCGAGGGCACCGCTTGTTACCCAATCGAGTGCGCACACAGCAGCCTACGACATGAAACATAATTAGCAGCCGAGGCTGCGGAGCATGGACCGGTCTTCCAAACTCAGAGTTGGAATAGCTATTTGAAGCGTGCCGCTGTATTGGTGAGCCACTGCAGCAGATCGAGAGCGCTGCGTTGGCAGGCTTGCCGAACGGAACGAACCGTTAGCCTTCCGACTTCACCGTACAAGTACCACGCAAACAGTGAGCCACGCCACATCCGCTGGAAAGAACCGTCCTCTATCAATGGATTTGTGGCAGTCCGAGTCCACTGAACGACTGTGACAATGTTCAGGTCATCCTTGTGACCTTAACAGCTGTTGCTAACTTATACGCCATGTACAGTCCTTGGAACCACTGCGTAGCAACGTAGTATCCATAACTTGACTGAAAACTCTTCATGAATCTCGATAGGTTGTGGGCAGGCACATGAGGTTACTATATCCTCATGTTGGATCTTATCAAGTCTTGGCACGGTGCACAGTTTTGCGGGGATTGCGCCTTATTGCAATGGGACAGATTCACTTGTTCATGGGAAAGGAAGCAACACCATTTGATCACTTCAACGAGGGAATACACCTACTCGTCGATGTCACGGCTTGCTGACGAGTTAAGTTTATGACCTTTTGTGACTCGTTTTCAAGTTCGGTGTCTTACAGGTTGTCTCCAGGGATAATGGCGTGATGATGGTTGTGAGACCCAGGCTGATCTACTCATTCCAAATGTATGCTCAGTCCACAAGTTCTCCACAACTATCCATCCATCGACGACTTCTGGCTGCGTCACTACAGACGTGCTTTTACCGCCGGTCGTTACACACTGATCTTATTATTCCGTCAGTTGCTTAATGAAATTTCAAAATGTTCTCAGGATTTCTCTTCCTGGGGAGATATCGTTGAGTTCTCCCGTCCATCAAAGAAGAAGAAGCTTGCGTCAGTTTCTGCCGGAATGGGGTGTCCGTTATGATAATGGCGCAGTCATCTACCAAGAAACCAAAGTGAATGGTATTTACCAGTACTGCGCGCCGCAGCCACCCCTGAGAAGTCGGCACTCGACCTGCTCTCAACACGGGTTCCTCATGTTATAGGGCGTCCAACAAACGTCGAGACACGTTGCCCGTTTGGATCGCAATCAGCATCGCCTCTCCCAGACGTAGGTTTATTGTTTCCAGTTGGGAAAAATGAACATTCCTAGCTTCCACAGGAAAGTATCCATGGAATACCACTGACGTTCTAAGTACAGCAAGTGCCGAGGCATCGTAAGCTTGCCGACTTATGTTTTCTTTTTGGGGAGTGGTCTAGCGTTCTGCAAACGGCCGTAAAGTTATGGTCTTTCTAGTGGATCCATCTACTACACAAGCCTGGGTATGTTAGCGGGAAACTAGTAACGGGCGTTGTCGGTACCTGTAAGGAAAAATCAATGCATCAACAGATGCTTGGGATGCACAGATGTTATAGATCATCAGGCATGTGCGATCAACATCGTTCCAGTGGACAATATCATATGATGGCTGACTTTGGGCTGACTCCAGCATTCTTTTTTAACAAGGATACGGCTGTTGATAAATAAAAACTTGACTAACAGACATGCCGTGACTGTTCCAGTAAAAATTCTTTCAATATGGAGTGTGTTTTGGTGACCCTGAAGTTGTCCGATGGGCCGACTCGGACATGTAGGTGATTGTACGCACAATCGATTTGCGATCAAAGTGCAAGGTTGAAGGCTGCATTTATTTCGAACCCAGAATTCGGTACTAGTACGTATGGGTCATGCCTCCCGCCGTCTACTAGTATCAATGAAACAGTATTACAAAAGAATGTAAATCGTTGGCTAACCCTGCGTAGTGTGCACAACGCGACTGATCCGTCAAGAATAGGTCAACGTTCAAGTTGACGACTGCATTAGAGTGTGAGAGAGGCGAGACATGAGACGATGAAGTGAGAAGTGGTCAAGTGATTGGGCCAAAGTCGCGTAAGAAGACCTTAGCGGAGACTAGCGGAGACTATAGTGTACACTTCCTTTGGCAGTGACGAAATATTGCGCGCGCTTTACGGCCACCCATCATGTCCTTGTCCCCATCTGCAGCAACATCAAACATTTCAGATATCCCATCTAAACGGCGCAGGACGCACAGTCTTATCGCACAAAATAGCAACAACAACTTGGATCATCAAGACATGAGCCAATCTCCTGCAGACACAGCCCATTCGTCACAACTGCCGCAAGGTGCCGCACACATACCCAAGAGAGGCGCAAGAGCTTGTACCGCTTGCAGGAAAGGTAAAAACAGATGTGAAGGAGAGGTACGTCTATTCAAAACCCGCTTGCGATCATCCCCCCTCTGCTCACTGGCCCGCCTCTCCCGCCCCGGCCCGGCGTTACATTCTTTAGGCTCCTTGTCGTCGATGTCAGTTGAGTGGAACTGCTTGTGTGTTCGAGAAACCAGAGAAGAAAAATACAAATGCTATAACTGGCGCCAGTGTCGAGTAAGCTTCAGATCGGGCGAACTTGCGCCATCATCACTTACACCACTCAACAGGCGCTTGTCTCGCCTCGAGGGTCAATATCTGGTACATACTCAAAGCCTATATTTTGAGGTTATCTGACAATATTATATTCTAGGTTATGCAGAGTCAGATGATTGGCATGCAATCCTCTTTGGACCGCATCTTATCCACGGTTCAAAGCCAGGCCTACGGTACTCAACAACAAGGGTATACTGGGGGTATGACTTCCGGGTCCAGTCGCGATGGCTCTGGATTTATGTCACGCAACGGGTATGATACACACGGACATGTGGGAGGCCAAAATTCTCAGCCACGCTCCCAAACGAGATCATTCCCGCCACTTCCGGGATTCGCTCCACCGGTTGGTCCGCTTGTGAGATCAATTTATAAACATCTCTGATAAACTTTTAGCCTCACAAATACGCAACTTATGGAATTGTGCCCAGCACTACACCATCGTCAGATGATGAGTCGGAGGAAACATTGCCTCGTGCCTCGCTCAACGCGCCTATTGAAGCTCTCCAAGGTTTGGCAAATGCTGCCGCAGAAGCAGCTGCTGCGCCATCTGCCTCCCCACCAAGGTAGTTTCGTATTTGTGAGGTGTACGATCATACCGATCACTTACAAAACAGGGTCAAAAAACGCCCGCGGGTGGAGCCTATTCCCCGGAATGCATTCCCGCACGTCATTGAGAAGGTGAGTTGACGAAATACTGGGCTTCTGCGCAGGTCATAACGCTATGGTCCAGGGCCTTGTCTCGGAAAGTGAGGCGCGGGAGCTCTATCATATGTAGGCGTTTCGTGGATATGGTCTTGCTCCGTTCTGATTCTTGTCGAAGTTTTTTCGCTGGTTGCCACGTCTTCATACCTTTGTTCGATCCGAATTATGACACATTCGAGAGCCTGATGGAACGCACTCCGTGGACATTTGACGCGATACTTGCCATTGCAAGCAAAATCAGGAGTGGCAATGGACCCCTCAGCTCAACGTTCTACAAGTGTCTAGAAGAAGCACAGGGCATTTCCCGTTCGTCGTTATTTGGCCCGGTAGTGAGGAAGGAAGCTGTTATGGGTGAGAATTTCGTTTTGTATGTTTTGCTGCACCATGTCTGATCAGTTTCATAGGGATGCTACTTTTAGCTGCATGGAGTACAAATGGATGGCTCCCTAGTGGCCACGCAATGCGGATGGCGTTAGATCTTGGTCTTCACCGAGCATTGGAGAAACTTGCTGATGATTCAGGGAAAAAACGCACTGAGGAAGAGGAACGTGACCTGGGTATGCATAAGAGTGACTGTCCAGTTATCGTCCAGAACTAATGACGATCCTAGTCGTGTCGGCGCGTATCTGGCTATGCCTGTACTGGTTTGATCACCAGTACGTCGAAGAATTTTGGCATCTTTATTTGTATCTCAACAGTCTTTTCCAGGATGAGTCTTGGCACCGGTCGCCCTATTGTACTGCGAGACGAGAGCTCCATCCGACACTGTCGTATTCTTCTGTCGCATCCAATGGTATCACCAACGGATGTAAGGCTTATCTCGCAAGTGGAGCTCATCGCTCAAAAAAGTAAGGAAAAATTCACGAGGAGATATTAATACCTCATTCGTTATTTGTAGCCCAGATTTACGAAACTCTCGCGCCCCTCAATGGGCAGGTTAATCATAATACGCTCGCCTTTATTCGGCGTGCAAATGTTGCACTCGACAAGTGGTGGCAGGACTGTGACAATCTTCATCGTTCGTAGTTGACTTTGTCCTCTCTACGTTCCTGATCGCCTACGCAGGCCAGACAATGGACGAGAATTCTCTTCCGAGAAAAATACTCGTCGGAGAATTACACTACGCCAAACTCTGGCTCGTCTGCGTAGCTCTTCGAGGTGTATCGTGGGATAAGATGCCTTTTGAGCAACGTGAACTTGCGTTCCAGGCGAAGGATGCGGCTTTTAACTGCCTTTCTATCTTCCTCAACTCTGCTGAATACCGGTCAGTTTTTGTTTTGATCGGTGCTTCGCTTAGATGATAATCGCGATGATCACAGAGCGGCCTTGAGATATGCAGTCCACGACAGTCTCGTAACGGCAGCATTTTCTGGTCTCTTCCTACTCAAGATGGCAAACTTGTTTCCTGCAGAGCTTGACCTTACCGCGATCACAGCGCAAGTCGAGCAGCTTGCACAGCTTCTCTCCGATGTTGCAGCCGAACGGTGCGGTTCCCCTGTTCTTTCTTTTTTTTTTAAATTAATCACCGCTTCTAGCTACGCCCTAACGCTACGTATAATGCTTGCCAATCTCCGGCGCAAAGTTGGGATGATTGCAGGGCTGAACCCACCTATGACCACCATGCCCCCACAGACCTTGAATGATGGGATTGTTACACACGGCCCAGGGCCTTACATTGATCCATCGGGATCTGCGCCTTTCACAATGGAGGAACTGGGTTTCGCATGGCCGAGCGAGCGTGCCACGTTCAGCCCGAGTGCGATACCTATGTGGTTGCAGGAGAAGAACCTGACGGACCTGGGGCTACCTGTCAACGGGAGCGATGGAATCTTTATGGATGTAAATGGCATGCATGGCTGGAGTGGAGACTTTGCGTCGATGCCAGGGGCATGGTGAGGACGTGATTGTACATATGGCAGCGACGATTCCGCGCGCTGAGGGCTGGTGATATGCATTATTTTTGTCTGGTATTCTGTCTCTATTGGTTTTCCTTGCTCGCTTTGTTCGTTTGTGTCCCGCTCTTGCCTGCTCATGCTTTTTTCTTGCATCAGTATTGCTAATGATATCCTACGATTTAATGTGTATCACGTGCTGAACAAACATACATTGCGAATGTGAATTGTCCTACACTGTGTGCACATACAGGGAATAGCAACACGGAAATACACATCTAATTGGAGAGCGTATCAGCCTATAATTTACTCTTCGTCTTCGTCTTCTTCGCTTTCTTCCTGCTCCTGAAGGAACTGTCAAAGAACCAGTTTGGTGCGTGATAAGACGGAAGGGGAAATTTGTTGACAAACCTTGACCAGGCCCTCGGTGGCCTTCAGGAAGTGTTGTCTTCCTTGCGGCTTAGACCCCTTTTGGTGCCAGTAAATGATCGCCTGGTCAGAAACGCAGTCCTTATTGTACAAAACCTGTGCGAATTAGTAAGTTATAAATTTATTACTGCACCATATCTAAACAGACTTGGAAAAGGGGTGGGATACAAGCGATAGGATCTGGTGCCTACTGCCGAATAGGTCGACATCACGGGTGCAACGTCACATCCCAAAGGACCGGTGACAGACGAACGAAAGCAGTAAGACTCGAAACACACCTTCAAGATCTGTGGGAAGGCTTTCATAACACGTGTGTCGTCATAACAGTAGACCTGTACGATATTGATCAAAGCGACCTGGGTTTTGGGGCCTTTACAGAAGGCCACGAGAACTGGGGCAAATTTCTACAGACGGAAATGATATCAATGGAAGGTTCAACGATAGGAGAACCGGATCACTCACCCCGACCTCACGTAGTGCGAGGCCTTCTATCTGGTCAGGGCGTGCACTCCAGTCTACGGAAGCCATGAGGCCCTGCCAGATGCTCTGTATAAGCTCCGCCTCAGGGAGCCGCTGCTCCTCTAGTTTACTCTGGATTGCAGATATGATCTATGTGAATCATGAGTTGTATGACTCGAAACGGGTGATACATGCGTAAAGATGACGCACTGATTCACTATCATCGCTGCGTTCTACCACCTCCTTTAATTCCTTCATGATTGCGTCTTTCGCGATCGCATATTGCTTCTTCGTGTACCAGTCGGCCACGGTAGGGAGGTTTTTCTCCCGGAAGAAAGCATCAAGAACTTTAGCGTCCCTCTTGTTAGGAGGGAAGAAGAGGAGTAGATCTTTGATATTGCCGCGTTTGAGGGTCGCGGCAAGGTGATCGATCGACTGGTCGGTGAGGTATGCGCTAAAGACCAGCGCAAGGATATTGATGGACTGGTCTACAGACAGCCGATGAGATTTTTGCAGTCCAGCATGGTGTAGTGCGTGAGCTTACCGTTCTTGACGAGGTGATCCTTGGTTAGACTCTGCAAACAAGCTGCGGTCACGAGGCCCTGCGAAAGAAGGAGACCAAGTGTCATGGCGAGCTTGTCGCGTTGCTCGGATGACCAACGGCCGATGTACTGCAGGAGAGTGGGGAGACTTTGCTCCTCGAATGGTTTCTGAAGATATTTGAACCTACAATCAAGATTAACACCGCATGCACAATATATTACGCGGGACCACAATCGCATGCACCTTCGATTCAATTTGTTAAACACATCGACATACTTCTTCAACTCTTCGATGTCGGGCGGATTGCGTGCGTTGAAAATAGAGAATGGCGACATGGGCGCGCCATCATCGAGATATGACCCACCCGGCTGGATGAGCCCGCCGACGAGGAGGATCTCAAACAAGGCGTCGGCATACTTAAGATACTCGAGCGTCCCACCAGCCTGTACAAGTTTAGCGCTGAATCCCTCGAAATCGTTCTCTGGAACTGTTTCAAGATGTTTGTAGAGTTGGTCTCTAAAGGCTAGATGTCGACATGAGTAGCATGATAGATTGATCGGAACTTGCTAGTCTCACCCGCTGGCTCGTGCTTTGCCTGTGCTTTGACTTGGCCTTTGCGTACTTTTGTGCGAACCCCCTGGAGTGAAGGCTTTGGAACTGCTGATTGCTGAGACATCCACAGTCTGCGAGCGATGTCGAGAGCGTGGATCAGACGATGAAATTGGGCTTCAGTTTAACAGGACCCAACAAAGTGCTTGTTCAGTCGGAGATACCCGACTGATCAACATCGATGAGCACGTCTCTCGCCAATATCATAGTCGATTTCTTGCACTCTTATAATATGACATGAACACAGCGCCCAAATCAAACAATGTGCCCTTCAAGCACTTGATTCACTGTCGGCGCCAACCCTGCCCATGATCATCTATTATCTATTATACTTAGTCTGTCTAGGCCTGAGGGAGACTAGATGCGACACGTGTTAATCAGTTCCCAGGAGCAACATTGTCTCCTGGTGAACTTTGATTTTTCCAGCAGAACTTCTATGAGGCGTGCACCCATCGAGATCGCCGGTGACAGCACAGTTCGATTGAATCTGAGTTGTGCGAGTTTGCAGGCGCTATGTCAATATTATAGTTGTGAGGGTACCTAGGGTTCAAGGTCAATTGTGATCTGTTCAATGATGATCCTGCCTGTCCGATGAGCGCTAGCTGCGGAATAGTAGCTGTAGTATTTCATTCAACTTTTGTGACCAATGATCACAGTTTAGACTCATCCGAGTCATGCATCATTGTGGATTTATGCTCACGTGAGAAGTGGATCATCCGAGTCGCGGCCCAACTTGAAGCGCTCATTGTTGAGTTCCTTAAGACTAGCCAATAGCTGTACTCTCCTCTTCACTTTTTATCATAAAAATTTCGAGTATCAGCCATCCCGACGACGGTGAGTGACATTCGTTGTCATCGTTGATGACATCTGATATTTGTGAACGTATTCTTGCCGTAAAGGAGCCTGCGACATCGCTTACCGGTCGCCTTAACGTATGTAATCATTCCAGCACAACACTTTTGTTGACCCTACTGAGCTACCTGTCCTCGATAAGATCGGTCAACTAACGCGCAGCACGAACTCCATGAACCTGCGTTTCACAGACTCCCCAAATGCGCGCTCAAAATCAATTACGACTGCCGATGGCATCGACACCTTTGGTGTGCGTACTATTCATGCAGTGACACTAGTGACTGTATCAGGGAGACTCATTGTATACCTAGATCTTGAATCAGCACTCTACAGGAAACGGTGCCTACAAGGTTGGTGTATCTGAGGACGTGGGCACACGACGATATATGGAAGATGCCCATTCTTTCGTCGTCGACTATGCTGGTGTGCGAGGCCAGGGATTCTTCGCTATTTTTGACGGTCATGCAGGAAAACACGCAGCTGAGTGGTGTGGCGCGCATTTTCACGAGGTTCGTATAGCTACTATGTCTTTGTGCTGATTTAAACGCGTGATCATATGCAGTACCTCCTCGACGGACTCCGCATTTCCTCCAGCGCTACTATTCCGGACGTTCTAAATGAAACATTCCACAATGTCGACAAACGCATTTCTCGCCTCAGCGAAGAATCCGATGGCAAGATCCATTCAGGATGTACAGTCGTAACCGCCTTTCTTCGCATTGAGGATGCAGATGGACGGCAATCCTTTCTCCCCGTGCCTCCACTTTCCCCGCCCTCCCCTACTGACAGCGGGAGCCGCAGTGGCAGCGAGTCTCCGACAGAACCTACGGATGAATCCAAGGAAACAGGCAAGAAAGCAAAGAGCAAGTCCCCTGCTTCGGCTTCCCGTTTCGCCAGGGCGCTAAAATCCCTGGGCGGCTCTTCGCCAACCTCACCCTCACTCCCCTCCGCATTCTCCGCTACACGTAGCCAGACATCTCCAACTTCGGTGCAAACATACACAGTTCCAATTGATGCACCACCCAACTCGCGGCGCGTGTTATATACTGCCAACGCTGGTGACGCGCGCGGCGTACTCTGCCGCGCAGGCCGGGCAGTGCGCCTCACCTACGATCACAAGGGAAGCGATAAGCAGGAGGCGAAACGTATCACCGATGCTGGTGGATTCGTTATGAGTGGGCGCGTGAATGGTGTTTTGGCGGTAACACGCAGTCTTGGAGACAGCAGCATGAAAGAATATGTCGTTGGGAGCCCGTACACGACTGAAACCGAGTTAGGAAGCGACGACGAATTTCTGATCCTTGCATGTGATGGGGTAAGTAGCCTCGTTAGGTGCCTTTGCTTCGAAGAATTCATTATCGTGTGACCCTATAGCTTTGGGATATCACGGGCGATCAGGGGGCGATTGATCTCGTGCGGCATATTTCGGATGCACAAGCAGCCGCAGAGACGCTCGTGAAGCATGCCCTTGAACGACAAACCAATGACAATGTCACTGTCCTCGTGGTGCGATTTAAAGCGTCGGGATCCACAGAGTCCATGGGACTCGCTTGAGTATGGGGATGTTGATTTGCTGTTCTGCGGGGAGGGGGCAAATGAGGAGTGTTATTTTTGCCGTGGCCGACGTCTTGCTGTTGTTTTAGTTGGTTCTTGTAATCGCTTCATTTAGCGCACGAGCATTCCGTTTATCTTGACTGCACCCCGTACTCTACTAATATCCGTTCAATGTAGATTTGATGTGTGTCAGAGCTGATTGATATCCGTGAATTGGCACACAACACAAAGAGACGCAGCCCATCGCCTGCGCATATGGGGTTTGCATCATGAAGTTCGTATTATAAACAAGAGAAAGCTAGCAGTATATGAGCGCCTTAGCCCATTATATATACAACCATACGATAGTTTACGCGCAGCCGCACATACTGTAAGTACTACTAGAGGTCGGACCATATTCCAAAGCTCCGTTCTTCTACGAGGCTAAAGCCACCGATGATGCTGTTGACTAACTCCCACTGTTGCTTCACTGACTTCTTCTGGACTGTCGGGTATGCATCCCAAAAATCAACCTTCTTCAAGTTGGGGAAAAGGCCGCTGATGATGAGAGCCACGTTCACGGGGACCTTAATGGGTGAATTTCCGAGGGCGAGGAATTTGAGACGCTCATTGCGACATCCACCGCCGGGACTCTTGAGATCTATGCCGTTGAACTTGGTGACATTGATGACAAGAGTGATCGAAGTCAAAGCGGGACAGCGGCCAAGTAAAGTGATTAGCCCATGGAACGTCGGCATTATGGAATCATCAGAGGGATAACATTTGATTTGGAGCACTTGGAGCTTAGGCCAGGCTGTCGCCAGCCGGCCCAGCTCCTTGTTGGACATGGAAATGTAGCAGACGCTTCCAATAAGCAATTGAGTTAGATTGCGGCATGCGTATAATGGTGCGAAGATGCTCTGTCCTGTGTGTGTGTCTTCAGGATCATCTCCGTGGAGGCTGATAGATTCAAGCTTGTCGTTATCGCATCTCTCCTGGATGATGGCGAATAACTGGGGTATCGCTGTGGATTCATCCTGATGCACGAAGTCAACCCTGATTTCTTTGGTTCTGACGAACTGAAGTGAACTCAAAAAACTCGAAGCTTGCTCCATTGTAACAGTGGAAAGGCCCAACGATTGCAAATTATGAAAGCCGGGGAATGATAAATCCACTGTGTCCCAATCTGACGGGTCTGTGAACTTCAAGCTCAGTGACTCCAGAGCTCGCAGCTCCGTCAAATGCTTGATGCCTTGGATTCCTAGGTCACATACCGACAACGTGTGGAGATGGTGGAGCTGAGAGATAGATCGCGTGATGAAGGGTGAAGCTTTAAACGATAAGATGGGGAACGAGGGTCCATAGTTCAAAGACATGTTCTGGAGGCGAGGACACGATGTCCCGAGGGTGGAAAGGACCGAGAGAAAGGCAGAGGAAGCTGAAGGAATATCCATGTTCAACTCTAGTAGGGAAGGTACAAACACCATGCGCAAGACCTGTGCAGCACAATGGGTTCCACTGGCATGCCATTTTAATTTGTGGAGGTTCGGAAACAACGATGCAGGTGCCGAAGAACAAGATAGTATGATTGCACAGAGGAGGTCGATGGCTTCCATGTCATCCAGTACGGTAATTGAGTGTACGCGGGACGTGTATTTGACAAGAGTATGCCACATCCTATCGTCAAGAGGTTCTCGTAATGCCTGCGTAAATGAACTTAGTCTGAAGTCCACAATCATATGAAAGTGGGACACCTACAACACCTCCTTCAAGACCAGAGCCAAACAGGTTACGCGGTAAGCATTTGACAACGGGCTTCACAGATTGCAGATCCCGCCACAGTGCATTAAGTGCTGGGCGCTCAAACGCGCGGCATGTGGATGCAAATGAAGGAAGTGAACTGTGTTTCACGTATGAGCTAATCGTGCATATTATTTCGAGATTTTGTAAGGCTGGGTGCATGACACTGTTATGGATATATGATAGATTTGAGTGGGAGGATAAGCTTGCAAAGTTGCACATATGAAGATTACGAAGAAAGTTGGTTTTCAATTGCCTCATTTTACCACAGGCGTGCAAAACGTGAGTTCACTTAAAAAACCCCGCAGGCTTGACCCCAGACAGCGCGCGCTCGTCATGGTCGGTGACGTGCGGAGGTCTGTGGGCAGCGAGGAACCTGGCAGGAAAAGATATGAGGGCGGGGGGTACCCAGTGGAATAGACAGCCGAGCAATATATTATCGGGTTGAAACACGCACGTTGCCATGACTGCCGTCATTGCGAAAACAGCTAAAAACGGCACCGTACCCCATGAAATGCTAAACTCTCTGAACTCTCATGCACATGGGGGACGCCGTTTTCATCCGAAAGGCAGGGGGAGAAGTACTTTTGTAAATCGGCACACGGAGACACACCAAACATGTTTTTCACGCCGAGGCGCAGGATAAACTGTACATAGCTAGCTACGATCTTTCCGCATGGAAACCGACTCAGAAACAAGTGTTTTCGTGCCCCGGCTCGAGAGCCTAGGCACAACCTTGCTTCGTGTGAGGACACCCGTCGGTAACCAATACATGACTTAGACAGAACCACTAAAACTTTAGTGGACGTCGCTTACTATACGCTACTTGCTGTAGATGACTCGTCTTCACCAAAATGCGAAACCAAACCGTTTGAGTTTCCTAGTTTGGTGAAGACGAGGTATTACTAAAATTAAGACGAATAATTTCAAGACTTGAACTGATCGAGAGCAGAATACGAGCTAGGGTCAGCGAGAATGCGAAAGGGAAAACACCGAAGGCCAGAAATTGAATGGGATACTTGGCCTTCAGCAGAAAACTTCGAATAGCAACTCCAACACCCATCACAATGCATACAGTTTCGGAGGTGGCAAAGACAGAAGCATGATACGAAGGGTCCATAATATAACCAGGTACAATGACAGAGAGTCCCACTTGAGTGGGTGTGGGTGTCGAGGGAAAAAAAATCAGCACCAATTCAGGACTCGCTACTACACCAATAATACATCATTATTCGATATAGATTAAACAGATACCCTGATCAAATGCTGCAAGGCCGTGATATCCATATCCGCATTCCTCGGAGTGATACTGCAAGGGAATGGCAAAGGGCGCCTAACAAAAATCAATAAGCCATCTCTCCAGAGAAATACTATTAAACCCTACGTACACAGTAAGCCCTGGATTCCAGCGTGGCTCGATCTCAATCTCTTTACCAGTCTCGTCTTTGGCCCTGGAAAAATTGAAAACTGCAAGCATACAGACGATGGCAGACCATATAGAAGCTTCGGCGAGATGACGACCAGGGCATATCCGTCGCCCAAATCCCCACACGAAACTCACAGTATCGTCTGTCAGAGTGCCATCTGGGTTCAGGAAACGGTCAGGATTGAATTCGTACGCATTCGCGTATTTATCTTCGTTGTGGCACATTGCCCTGAGAAACATTGAGTTACAAACCACAAAATAATCGATCTTCGTACCAAACATTCGGGGTGACTGTAGCACCTGTACTGCGAATGAACGTGGACTCCAGGATGAGAAGAACCTCGCACACCTTTGGGTATGTAATAACCTTCGTAAATATCGCTTTCGACAGCAGCATGCATGATCGCTGTAATAGATCAATAATCCAATTCCGTTGTGCTGAAGTGTGCGACGCACCAAGAGGGAAAACTGGGTGCCACCGCAAGCACTCCCGTAAAATGGCGTCAATGTAGGGCAAGGATGGACGATCGTGGAATGTGGGCAGTCTCTTTTGGCCAACCACACTATCAACAAGTTTTTGCGCTTTCTGTTGTACATCTGGGTGGAGAATCATCACCAGCACGAAATTCATCAACACAGCGGCTGTCTAGTACTTGTCAGCATTGGACCGAATCACTGGCTGCCGCTTTCGGCTTACCGTCTCAGTGCCAGCTGGCGAGACGATCTCATTCAGCCTCACAAATTTACACTGAAACACATTTGCTCACCCCCAGAAGCGGTTGCTGTGGATTCCTGTATTGCTTTCTTCTGCCAGGCAGAATCGCCGTGGCGGCCATCATCAAGCTCCCTCAAATGTGTAGCGACCATGCAATGAGAAACGGACCCCATAGCCTGAAAAGAACTTGAGAAAAAATAATCGCATAAAATGTTGCATTCACCAGACTACGCTCTGTGTGCGCAAATGGCCTTTCCAAGTTTTCCACGGCCAATTCCTTGGCTAAAGGTGAAATTCTCTTGAGACGCATACCAGGCAGCCAAGAGGGGAGGCGGAGAACTGCAAATCAAACGGTAAGAAATTGCTGTATATGATGAACGACCGAGCATACGAAAAGGATAAGCACTAAAAACGGCAGCTACCTCCGGTCTCAACTCTTTCAGCATGAGCTCCAGAGCCATGGTTCCGCGCTCAATCATGTAGTCATGACGTCGTGCTGCATCATACGAATACACGGCGGACAAAATGACTGAACCTGAATGGCTGAAGAACTGTTTCAATACCAAGGTACCCGGTAGATGGACATAAAATCTACCCACGCTTCAAGATGTTCCTGGTAGTTCAAAGGATCCTCGAGGAGGTTTAATAAAAGGTCATGGCTTTTAGCTATTTGCATGGGCTGAAAAGTGGGGACTGCGGCTTGTCGGAAGGACTGCTGTAGAATTTTCCGCTGAAGGCGCCATCTACTACCATATCGCATAAAGGCGGTAGTATAATCGATGCCAAATCTAAGAATTCATGGCTAATTAACAAGAATACTGGAGAATTCGACTAATTCATACAATTCATTGGTTGCGATCTCTGGTCGGTCGGAGTAATTCTGTGAGCGATGATCAAGGAGGTCTCTTGCAACCCGCTCAGAGTTGATAATGATATTGTCCTGACCAAAAAGTCGAGTATATACCACGTCACCTGGGAAACATTGATCACTAATGGTGATCTGCATTCTAGGGGACAACTTACCGTATTGATTGCCCCATGCCTTGTAGGTTAGCCAAGGGGCGGTCACATCAACTGCCAGTGCACTACCTAGGATTGGGAGTAAAGCTGGACCAGGTGGTAATTTACCACTGTGAGGCAGCTTCGGTTTGGCAAAGTAACTTCTGAGTACCAAGCTGATTGCAAAGGCGGCAGAAACTAATCCAAGCGCACTGTGACTCGTGAGAAGGTCTAACATAGCAAGTGAGCGCTGCAGTTGGTACGTGGAGTTTTGGGGTCTTCTATATTCAGAAGGTGCAATACAATTACCTTAAACGAGCATTCAATTTGACGGAACGCCTGATGTATGAGCCTCGACGCAGACGGAGCAAGAATACCATCATGAGGGTGATAACACTCAATAAGAAGGCGTAGCACTCTGTTCTGTTAGCAATCTAAAGTAGAGTCGATCACGGTGCCGTTTGACTTAGCTAGCGAGCTCGCGAGTGAGCAAAGTCGAACAAGTGCTTACTAAGCGAGCGCGCGACATAAGATGACATTGGTAACGCGTGACAGTACCCGCGTCTTGTTCATCTCGCCTGCTCGCTTAAGGTACAATTTTCTCCACCTGAGTGACATACGAAGTGAGGGTGAGAACGAGGAGGGTTGCCTCCCTTATATGATGCTCATTGACATCGCCTGCCGGACTTCCCATACACTCGAGCATCTAGCTCTTTCTCTGCTGTCGTACAATTGTATGCCCGATCATCACAGCTTGATACCGCAGAGGTGCGGCATCGGTGTTTTCGTGATGGGCCGCCCACAACGCGGGGCTTTGGCCACAATATCGGATGCATTTTTACATGGGTGTGCCACCCCCACTTGCGCGTATTGTGGGCAACATGACTGAGACAGAAGTGGGTGTGTTACCCCCACAGTGTCATGATATGGGCAACATTGCGTCTAGTAATGCGGGTGCCTTACCCCCGCAGCTGGATAGTATGATGATAGAACCTAAGGTGTGTCACGATTAGCGCAGGCATGGCATGTGCATAGTATTCAGCTGGCAGGACATATTTGGGGAGAATACAAGCAACATATAAGGTCTGTGAATGCTGTTCCTTCTGATAGGGTGGCATATAAGTCTTTGGACACTTATGCATACCTATTACCAACAAGTTTTCGAGCTTTGCTTTATTTTCGGACGTTTGATTGGATTCGCAGGACGTTTTTGTTTCATTGGTAGTTGAGCCATCGAGGAACCTAGTTACCTGAGCTTATGTGAGCGTAGATGGCCAAATATAAAAATTCAATTCAATTGACATATGCATCTCCAGTACTCGGCACATTTCAAGGAGAAACCATCTTCTTTGTCTGTAGTATACGACATGCACATAAAATCCAATGTCCTGATGTCGATACTCACCGGCTGCAGAGCTCGTAGCAGCATAAGTAATATGCCACCAGACGCCTTATATTCCTGGTGGGTCCCATATCTGCAACTTACGAAGATGGTGAGTCTGGAAAATAGGTTGTATGATAAAGGGTGAATTGTTAGAAGACGGCTCATTGATTGCACGGCAATATCTCAAAGCCATGTCATGAAGGCAAGGTCATAAGACGAAAAGGTCGAGAGAAAGGCGGGGGAATTTGAAGAAATCCGCACGTTCAAGGACAATAGGGAGGGACATGAAATACATGCGCAAGAACTCTGCAGCGCTGCGGGTAGTATTGGCATCCCATGTCAATCGACGGAGGACGGGAAACAAGGACACGGGTGCTGAAGGACAAGACGGTATTATCAAACAGAGGGGCCCGACAAACGTTGGGTTGTCAGATTGTGCGATACAGTGCACACGGGACGTGTATCTGGCAAAACTGTCCCAACTCCCAAGAGGGTCCTGTAATGCCTTGCGCACGTGAACTTTGAAGCTCACGATCATATGAAACTGATGTGTCCCAAATATTCACGATGCAAGTGCTAGACTGGCACGGCATGTGGATGCAAATACATGAAAGGATCCATGTTCGGCGTGTGAGCTATCACTTCGAGAATTCGCACTAAGGCCGGATGAATGACTTGGCAAGCCTTGGATATGAAAGTACTGGATAAACCTGCAAGAACTATATTTTTATTGAGAGTTTTATGGAAAGAGTTGACACTTATCAGCACTTCGAGGCCACATGCTACTGTCACCTTCTGGATCCTCGAGAACCCTCGCACCCCAATCAACCACTCTATAGACGCCGTCGCCACCCGCCGGCACTCGGGGCCTTCCAGCATCTTCAACTGGCTATCCAACAACACAACCATCATGAAATGCCCCTGGCATTTCATCATTCGGCCCGTGGGCACCTCCCGCGAGCCTTTCATTGTCGGAAGCTTTCCCCAGTGCTGCGATGCCTCTGCTTCCAATATAATTCAGCCCTTAACATTGAATGGTAACTCCCCTTCAACGCCGAACACACGATGATGATCCTCGGCTTCTAATCCTCATTCCTCACAGGACTCGGCTGCTCACTACGCCCGATCATGCCGCGCTCGTCCAGCGTCTTCTCCGTCTCAGACATGTCATCTAGCTCCGCATGCAACTACTGACAGCTGTCTCGTGTTACTGACCTACTGACAGCTGCCAAGGCTGGTGGTCTGCGTCCGAGAGGTTCTCCACGCGACATCGGACCGCAGATGGAGGTTGTCGCCATTGATGAAGGGGAGATGAAGAGCCCTTTGAAAAGCGTGGTGCCGAGAGTAGAATTGGAATTGCCTGTACCAAATAGCCCTGATGTCAATAGTGAGCATCATGGTATTACAGATTGATGCCCTAGTAACTGGAAATTGCAATCAGTCACCAAGGAAGTAGACATAACACGAATCGCTACCAGAAATATCGCATCGCTCATGTCTCGATTAGCAACACCTGTATGCATGTTTATCACCTCCGTCCTCGGTTTATGTCGGCACCTCGGAGCATACGTAGATGGTCGGACGATCATCAGGAAGAGACATGATGGTATTCCCAAATGCAATTGAACCAGTACCTGAGAGTCGGTGTACTTGCGCATACGAATGATATACCTTACACATTTGTTGGTTAACCGGACGTTCGCAGGAAAGGAAATTCCACGACTTGAGGAGCTGATGGGTGACGATGACCGGTAAGCGGCGAAGATAAGTACTATATGTAGTATGAAGTGTTTGATGCTGGCTCGGAGCGAGAATCCCCAATCAACAATCAAAGAAACGAGATCAGCGCAACATCGGGTTGGAGGCTTTATGGACCGTATATCCACTACTACACGAGTCAAATAATTCATATATGTCTGATATCCATCAAAAAAGATCAGCAATATTCTTGAGATGGACATACCGGTGACTCAGACTTGCTGTACGGCGCGAGGACACCGCGGTCCGTGCGCGTGAACGACCGACTGTTGATGTCAATTGTGATGACATGCACTGCGTTAGTCGTCACTAGCCTTGACTACATACTAGCAGGATACAGCAACTTTTCTTTTTGTACTCTAAACGACCATGGGAGAACACCACAGGGACGAAAACAAGAACGAACTTGAAGAGCGCGAGGCTGTAGCTGTTAATTGTAAAACGTTACTATGCACGACGCACGTTGCCGGCGCCGCACAGGTCACGGGTATGATCCGAGTGTATGTATACTAGTTAAGGCTAGTATTCCTTGGGGAACCTTCTATAGCATTCGGACTTGGCCCGCCGTCTAGACCCACGCGTCCGTCCGAGTCCCTGCAGGGTCATGGTGATGACTGATCCGCAGTTGCAGGTATTCATAGGCGAGGCACATGTGGTCACTGGACTCTGCTGAGTGCGTCGCGAATGTCTCTCAATCGAATTGGTTCGATTTTTGCTTCGAATGTCCGATAGAGTCGTGGTTAATGGAGTTCCACCAAAGTATTCGATGACTAGACGACTTCGAATTCCGTCACGTCTCCCCGCGTTCAGCGCGGGTTTGAGCTTAGTTAAGGGCCTTTGGAGTCGATAGTATACATAGCTCCCCGGGGATTTGGCCACGTCCCTGGCTGCGATCCACGGGTATGGTAATCGTAAGCTGTAATGGGTTTCATAGGCAAGGCACATGATGTACGTCTTGTATCCTTTGGGTGACTCGGCCGTACGTGCAAGCTCGTGGCCTGAGTCATATACAATGCAGTCATTAGCTCCCTGGCCCCCATAATTAGTCACCGATAACTATAGCCCTCCGTTTGAAGAACAATATTACTGTAATCACACGGTCTGAATGAAATCACCACATGATTCACAATGTCACCCATGGTTTGCCAAGATACAAATCCATTGTAAAAACACGACATCGAGAACGTGTCTATCTGTATGTATGCATCGGAATATATGTATGTAAGAGTGAGGTGAATGTTGATATCAGCGTGTGGTGGTACGTTATGGCACGATCAATCAATCAGTTGAATGAGGATATCGGGTACATGGTCAGTTGGAGAAGGAATGACTGCTTAGCTGGCGAAATTAAAGAACAAAGATGGGCGTAAAAATAACAACAACAATGACTTGATAGAAGGAAAAAAAAATATAGCAACTTTGGAATTAAATGCAAAGATATACTCCTGGAAGAATTGATCAGAATTTCGTCGCAAAAAACTTTATCATTATTGGCGTCACGTATGATATATCCATAAACAGGAAAAGAACGACAGGGTGTTTAACTGGGATGGGGGAGTGCGCGGGAGTGTGGGGGCGTCGAGAAGTCGATGGCATTGTACGCTGGTGGTGGAGCTTCTTCTAGGTCCGCGTGCTCCTCGACCGCGCGTCGGTGATGGTGCGCTCGAGTGACGTTACGCACCCACCCTAGCACCTCATCAGGATCCTTCTCTGGACGAGTCCTACCCCGCGGTTGCTGTGCAGTTGATGGCCGCGTGGGCATCGTCGCTGATATCGGCGTTGAGACGACGTTGGACGAGTGGGTGTACCGATGTCCCGTGGAAGATAAGCGAGGTATCGGGACAGGCGTCGGGGGAAGCGTACGAGCTAATGTGGGAAGGCGTTTGGTTCGAGCAGGAGGTGAGCTAGTAGGGGATACGGGGTTTGAGGGGACGGTAGGTAGTCGGCGCCGAACGACAGATCCCGAAGAAAGAGCACGGCTGCGAGACGGAGGCGTACCACCCACACTACCCATATCACTGTCTAGCACTGTCGGCGGGATGAGCACTCCGTCTTCCGTGACTGATGGAGTGTGCCTGCTTGTTGTTGGGATGGATGATAATCGGGGTGACGATCTCGATCGGTGAAGCCACGGCTGTGATCCAGGAGGGGGGTGCCATGAAGATGGCGGCGCCGGAAGTTCTCGCCGTGTACCCGCACGTGGCGAGGGGGAAGGCTGCGATGATAGTGGGATGTAATCAGATACTGGGGTGGGTGATATTGGTGCAGGGGAAAAGCTAAGGGGAGTTGAATAACGGCTGTTGGTATTGATCCTTGGAACGGCTCTTTCTGAGTCATCGCAAAATGTGGATGTATGGAATTCACTGGATGGTGCTGAACAAGGGGTTGCAGGATAGCAGACGGACTCTGAGGAGATGCTTTCAGAGTCCCATGCTGTACCCGGGCGTGGAGGTAAGTCGATACCGTCTGCACTATGAGGTCGTAATGATGGGTATAACGGTTCGCCATATACAATTTTGCGCCATTGATTTACAGATGTGGGCGGGGGCGCTGTGCCGGAGATATCAAGTACATCTGCATCCTCATTGCAGCGGGTATCGATTGCAGGGGTCTTGAGGGAAGGATATAGAGGTTCACCATACATGATTTTACGCCACTGACGTGCAGATGCAGGAGCAGATGTGGATTTAGGAAGGGAGTCAGATTCCGTTGCTGGGGTATCGAGTGAATTTGGGTTGTGCCTTACAGTCATCCAATCGTCGGGCTCTGTAACGAGTAGTAGAGCGGTGACAAAGAGGTTGTCGAGTAGGGAAAGGGATATTCCAGCGTGTTCTACTTGAGGAACTGATTGATGGACAGGACCAAGGGTTTCGAAAACTTTAAGTGTTGGATTGTTTTGGTCGTCTTGTATATCGAGGGATGCGATTAGTCGCTTGGATGATGAAGATGTGCACTTATGAGAAAGTGTGAGCGTAAGCGGAAATAAGTGACGAAAAGGAATGTTACCTGATAAGTGCGACCAGTTCGCTTCCACTTTAACGTATGGGGATGGTTTGGTAAGGTGAACTTGCGTGAGCTGGTGAAACAAAAAAAATGAATGATATGAGGGATTTATAATATATGAAGAGACATACTTTCCAAGGTTGCCATACTTGAGGTAGCTGTCAGTGTCTCTCCAACGAGGTTCACCCATCTGTATGATTGCACCGTGGGTATCCCTTCCTTTGCCCTTGAGAGGAAGATCCTTGGGCCAACAAATGTCTGCGATTTTTACAGAAGCGTCCCATGGATCTGAACGCCATATAGTAGTTGAAGAGCCGACTGTTTCGACTGAGTAAAGAGGAGTTTCCGCTACGAGGTCTGTAGCGACGGAATCTAGAAAAGAAGGAGAAGACAACTTGAGTACGAGAAGGGGTCTCTGTTGTCGGCGAGAAGCCATGTCGTCGCGAATTTCCAGGCGATGTAGGTAAGGGAATATAGCAGATGGATTTGAAGTAGAGGGCCCTGGGATTGGTGATGAAGGAGAGGTGGATTTGGATGTGGGTGGAAGAGAGAGTCGTTGAACAGGTGGAGGAACGAAGGGGGAGAAAGACGGTTTGTCAGAATCACCGATGGAGAGGGACATAAGCGCCCGATGCATGGCAATGAAAGTGGGTAGTATGAATTTGGGATGAGTGACACTATAAGGGACTACAGCTTAGACCTTCAATCTCAGCGGCCCGTTGAGATCATCCACGTAAGTTAATCAGTTGTCCGGGTGATGACCGAGCGCTCTTTACAAACTCCGTCGCGTCAACATATCCCAACGCGCTCTTTTCACACACAATCCTTATTATTATTCCCATCATGTCTACCGAACCCAGGTAAGTTCTAATGTACCATTTCAGTCCAAATTTCGAATATTCCTCTTAGATCTCCAGTAAAAAAAGACGCGACGAGCCTCATAAAGTCTCCTGATTCAAAGGGAAAAGGGAAAACAAAGGCTCTTGCTGAGGACTTGTCAATGGAGGAGGAAGACGAGGAAGAGGAAGAAGAAGACGAGGAAGAAGGTGATGAGGAAATGGAAGAGGTACGACTTTCTTTCTTTCACATTTATTCATCACACTCACCGACACAGGAGGAAGAGGAAGATGATCACGAGGAAATCGACCCTAGCGCAATCCTTCCTCGTCGCACCCGCGGCACACGCGTCGATTATACATCCGAGGAAGCCCTCAAAAAGGCTGGCCTCACAAAGGATGACCACGATGACGACGACGACGAAGGCATGGAACATTAAGTCTCTCACGCCCCCCAATTACTTTAATATTGTTATCGCTCTCCTATAGTCTTTGGTCAATTATTTTGCAAGGCGTGTGTGTAATATTGCCAGCTGCCAGAGGTACTCTTACCTCGTTTCATCTTGAAATTAAATAAAAATTCACCCTGCTTGGCACTTTGTTCGCATGTTCGAATCTGTATGGCCTCGCACGTTGCTTTACTTCAGTCACGCGCCATCGTGCCGAGCTCATGGCGGCCTCCAAGTACTCAAGTATTTTGCATGAGTTGAATGTGGACCTGAAATCCCCCGAAAATACTAGTATTTGCAGGACTGCTCGGCGGAGAGGCTCCCACAAAGTCAACTAAGTATCTGGATTACAACGTGTTCATGCTACGCGACGCCGCCGATATCCAAGTTGGGGCGCCCCAATGAATTCTCACTCGGCTTTTCTGACTTGAAACATGAGCCGATATTCTAATTCATGTGCATCCTTGTCTAGACCCTCTGCAATACGCGGTCCCTTACGAGTGCACTCCGCATGCCTTCCCTCGTTCCGACTCAGTCGATCGAACCTTAGCAAAGCTTAATTCTTTTCGGGGTTAAATTCTCATACGGGACCTCGAACTCCCCGTCGGGGACCGCTAGCTTGGCAGCCAGCCAAGCCTCCTGGGAGGTCCTGAACTTTTGTAGCTGGGCCTTGATCCCTAGACCCCAAGCCCGACTTCTATTCTTGTAAGGCGTGCGTTCATATCTCATATCTATGGAAGGGTCTTGGAAAGTCAACAATAGCAAAGCTGCCTCACCTGCCGCGTCCCTGTCTACTATCGTTTTGTGCCTCGCACCGAATTGGTGTGCTTTAGCAATATCTAACTCGTAAATTCGGGTCGACCAGCTAGCCAGGCTCCTTCCCACCATTGTGAGGGGATGACTGCGAGGGTAGGGCATCGGTAGAGTTATTGTTAGAACCGAGTGCCAGTTCCAATGGATCATCAAGTCCACACTCAGCTTCGAGCAGTGGTGGGAAGGAGCCTGTCAGCTAGCTATCTATATGTATGTGTGAAATTTACGATTTTGGATGACAACGTATGCATGACTACAAGCTGCAAATACAAACAAACCAGTACTGTGTCTGCTGTGTCTCTACTTCCCCGCCTCTAGCTACAGTCTCCACCAGCGCTAGCACATCTATATATATCCTACAGGTTGCGTAGTAGCAACTCGAACACGGTGTATCGGGAGTTGGAAAATTCTCGACCGAAGCCCAACCGAAACACCAGTAGTCAACGTACTCCACAATCATAATGGATCACAGCGCACACCATATGGCTGCTGAGCCTGCAAGGTGCAAGATGTGGATGCTCTGGTACGTCCTCACCACCATCCACCCACAAATACTTACCTATCTTCAGGAATACTCAAATCATCGACACATGCGTCGTATTTTCCCAATGGCACATCCGCTCTAACCTCCAATTCTTCTTCTCCTTCCTCGCCATCGTAGCACTGGGCATGCTCTACGAGTACCTCCGCGTCTTCTCGAGGGACTTTGACAAGCGCATTGGTGTGAAATTGAGGATCCGGAATGGGCGTAGGACGCCGCCTACTGCGAGTGGAAGGAGCTCGCCTGAACGTCATGGTGATCACGCTGAGGAGACAGGCTTGTTGAATGGGTCGAGGGTCACGAGGAAGCAGGGGTGAGTGCTTCTATAACACGTGCTTTTCTGATCGTGCTGACTTTGCCTTTATAGATTCGCTGTTCCCCCTCTCTATCGTGCCATGCGTGCTGTGCTGTATGGGGCCAGCGTTGGCTTGTCTTTCTTTTTGATGCTTGTGTTCATGACGTATAATGTATGTCTGACTGCTTGTTTTTCGGACACTGATTGATTCGTTTGCGTATAGGCATACCTGATTTTTGCAGTTATCCTTGGTGCCGGGGCAGGACACTACATCTTGAGCGATACTATTGAACCAAACGGCCCTGCTGACAAGGGGATGGCATGTCATTGATCTATGTACATGGGGAAAGCTACTATCAACATACTTATTACTCCTGCTTACATCGCTTCGATTAGTCTCCATGTCTTCCGTCAAGGTTCAGGTTCAACTACGGGAGACTAATGAGGACACCGGTTCCTTCTACGTTTCAATATACCTCACTCACTCCAAAGGTGGAAGAATTGCTGTACACGAATATAGCTATGAATATGGTCTATTATTTCATCTACTGTAACCTCATCCTTCTTCGCAAGCACTCTGGGTGGAAGAAAACATGGATGATCGGGGCGAACAATGGCACAGAGTTTACCAAAGCGATAATATTCAATGTACAGGGATTGTACTGAGGGCAATGAGCAAAACGATGGACAGCACGACTCTTGGAAGCATAAGCTCCTTATTCCATCCGACTCAGATGCAAGAGCTCAAACACACCCGCGAGCTGTTAAGACCATCAGCGTGTCTGTATCTTGCTCACAATGGAAGCTGACGATAATTACTTACACTTTCCGAGCCCATGTTACGGCGTCGGTGAAGCATTGTTAGGCCCCCCTCTTGCGCCCTCCGTCAAGTTTGTGGTCATAGTGTTACGAGATGGCCCGGGCTAAGTTTCGACAAGCGGCTGGCTGGTATCTTTCGTCCGCTCCATCTCCCTTTTCATTTGCTCGTCAAAATGATCTTCATTAAAAGATTCCCGGCAACATCCTCGGGGACCGCAGCATTTGGCACTACCGTGTCAAACGGATCAGTTCAAGTGATGAGTCAACAAACTCATGTTGCACCAATTTCTTTGAACCAGTACGATGCCTACGTATGTAAGCGTTTTGATAAGTTAGTCATTAATGGATTCAAATTGATGGAACACATCTCGGCGTACAGCAGGCTCCGCACATAGACCCCAAACATTCCCATGCGTCTGCCATGACCGATAAACGGAAAGCAACGGACAAAGCGCTGCAAGATATATATGCAGATAGAGTTAGTTCCCGAGTATACGTATATATATTACAAAGGATACCTTCGGCCGGCTCTTCGATGATATGATTATGATATCACCGTAACAACTCAGGAAATACAATATTAGCACGATCTTGTCCTTAATTCGTGTCTGCAAATAGACAACGGACGTGTCTCTTCGCGTTTTCACTCTCGATGACGCTGTGTACAATTGATTCGAGCAAAGGGATCCGTTCGAAGGTTAGCACGGTTCGTGCTAGCGTCAAACCTTGATAGCCATTACATAAATGTAGTTGCATACGCAAAGTTGTCCTTCGAACGATTTGGATGGAATACAGCAGCGGCTTTCAAATGAACCGAGGAGTTGGACTTCGATGCAGCGCAATCGCGCGCATTTCTAACTAATCCCCTTTCTGCTGAGAGGTATTATAAATGCAGTTCTGTTTGAGATCCAGGCGACGAGGAGGTACTCCAGGATTGGACAACATTGCGAGGTAGTCGGTGGTGTGTTCTTCTAGCCTGTATATAGCAGGGAAGGATGTAGACTAGATGTAGACTTATTAAAGCCAAAACGATTGAATTGGTGGAAATATATTAATGTACCTCCAAATTGTGTATCCGTCCTTCACATCGTATAATTTCGGTGCAAGAAGCTCAACTGGTAGTGCATCACGATGAGACCCAACATTAGCACAAAGCGCTGCCGAGAGTGCGAATTTAGACTGTCGGCAGGAACACAAATATTGGCAGAACTCATTTATCACCGGATGTATTCTATGGCATGGTCAGAAAAGGAGTGCGCGGATGTGAAGGCAAATGGTACTTATCTCCTCCTTGTCCCGCTTCCTGCCACTGGGTAAAACCATCCTGTTCTCATTTTTCTCGACCTCTGACAGCTAGGTCCATGTTATATCCACAGGGCATTGGGAATGAGAAGGAGTAGCAGATCCTTCTTTCTCGTGGGATTAATGAGCCTCAGATAATCGATAATCCACTGGCAGAGCCTGCCGCAGAGAGGCGCTCGACTATAGTAGCAGCTGCGAGGCTGGCGGAAACCTTCCTTAGTCCAGACTGCATTGGTCGGAGAATGGTTTCGTCAAACTTTAAAGTACGGTAACATATTTTGTTTTGTTTACACCCACGGATAATATTGGTGGAGTTCGAAGCATAAGCATAAGCCGTAGTTTGACCGTAGTAAGCTCCCACTTCTTCGATATTCTAGCACCCAACGAGCGCTGCAGTTATCGATATTATAAGACATTATGCAGTGACGCTAGTGGGCCGGCTGTAGTAGCAACTCTCGACTGCATCCGGAGTTAGAGCCTTAGAGGATTTCCAAGCCTGAGCATTCTCGTCCGAGGCCCAAGTGGCAGTTCACTAATCTGTATGTACTCCACAATGGATCACGGCTACCAATATGTATATCCCTTGTGCTTATATCGCTTCGATTAGTCTCAATGGCTTCCTTCTATCAACAAACCCGCTTCATAATCAATTAACCTTACTCACTCCAAAGGTCGAAGAAATATTGTTGTACACGAATACAGCTACGAGTATGATCAATTACTTCATCTCTGTATCCTCATCCTTCTTCGCAAGCCCTTCCGCTCGAAGCAGAGCATCAATTTCTGCAGGTTTGTAAATCTTAGCTTTTGGTGCTTTTGCTACTTGGTCGTATGTGAGGACTGCAAATTCGACTGTCGAGTACAGATCAGCGTCATGTTCGAGTAAGAAGGTAGGATGAGCCTACGCTTTTCGCTTCCAAGAGTTGTGCTGTCCATCGTCTTGCTCATTACCCTCAGTACAAGCCCGATAGCCTCCTCGACGCCCAAGTCGTCTTTGTATTCTTGTTTGAGTAAACTCTGTGCCGTGCCATTGTTCGCCCCGATGCATGTTGCTTTCCACCCAGAGTAGTTGCCAGATGGGTCGGAATGGTACAATTGGAAATGGTAATGTGGGTCATAGCCTGCATATAGCAGGGAGACGCCGAAAGGACGCAGACCTAGACAATATCTCGTTAAAGTCAAAACAAACAAATTGGGGAATAGATTAACGGACCTCCGAATTGCGTATATCCTTGCTTCATATCGCACAATCGTTGTGCAAGAAGCTCAACTGGTATATCATCGTTATACTGCAAAAGATGTTGTTGTGCCACAGTCCGCGCGTAGTTCACTAGTGAATTCGCATCGGACGTGATGCCTGCAACGCCTCCGATTACATTTCTGCAAATTCCAGAAATCAAGAGGCTTCATAGGTACTTGTTGGGGGTAGTGCTTACGAGTTTAATAAGAACATCTTCTCTCCACTGCCGCCGTAGCCCCCACCTTCCTTTGCGCTGGAAAGATCGAGGAGCTTCCCTGTCACACGTTTCTCAGCGGCCAGGACAACACCGTCCTTTGCGAGTACACCGAGGACTGTTCCTGCGTGTGAAATGGCTTCCATGGCATATTCGACTGAAATGATAGGGTTAGGTCGTGAGCCATCTGCAATTCTCTGATGAGCGTACTTTGGTAAAGCCGGCCTGTGCACGATAAACGAGTCAGATCAGGGCATTTAATTGATAATGTTAAGTACGCACCTTCCGGGGAGAATATTGTTGTTCGACCTGTAAATCAATGGTCATTATATGGACTCAGTAGGGTGGTGCTGCTAGGATACGTACTATCATATCTTCGGGCCTGCACGAGTGATTCATGTGAGTATTCGTATGTCAATGCAATTTATAAAATGTGCATACCATGGTTGATGAATCAGGGGACGAGAAGGGAGGAGCGTACTTGTAAGATGGAACTTGTCACTGACGCGTTCCCTCAGATTGAGTTGGCATACGCGTCAGGTTAACCGGGGGGTCGCCGGCATTTGCCTATTAACTTAGACTCAACCCCTCTAATAAGGTCCTCGCCGTTTGTCAAGTACTAGACTAGTACTCTTCGAACATTTTCTTTCGTTACCGCGGATGTGTACATCCTTTACATGAATGGATTTTAAGATGATGGTATGCAGAAAGCGCTCCGAGGAAATCAGCTGCAGTACTCTGCTCCGAGGAACGAATACCAACGTTTGGCACTAGAATTGGAAGGCCTCCCCGAAACATCTGTTATTAAGAAGACACGACTGTCAGCTGAGTCTTTTGTCTATGTATGTGGTCTGACTGCGGAAGACTACAATTCTGCGCACCTGCATACACTTTGAATGCCGAATGAAAGAAAATACTAGCGTACTGCTTCCGATTCGGCGAGTTCCCCATGGTTCTACTCACGTCTGTGGCATATAGTCCACCACTGGCCACATCTCCCCTTCCTCGTCGGCCATCGCTATCAATCATATTCTAGCTTTGTGGTGGAATTCGAGGTACTACATCAGTCGCATTAACGTTGTGACTCGCCATGTCTTTTGTTAGCGTGCACTCCGAGGCGCCAACATATCCCGAGGACAGGGGGGCAAATCATCCGGCTGTCAACGTTAACCTTGATACCTCGGTGGAAAACAAGCCTCTTGTCGATGGAAACATGAGCGATGCGGTATTCTTGGTGGTGATGGTACGTCTATTTCTCACTTGCATTTCCAAGCACTGGTATCACTCAAAGCATGCTCACTGAGCTCTCAGGGGGTATCTGGCACAGGCAAATCTACTCTCGGCGCTGCGCTATCAAAGGCTCTCCGTCTCCCATTTATCGACGGCGATGACCTCCATCCGCAATCTAATGTAGACAAGATGTCACGTGGAGAACCTCTCACAGACACAGATCGCCAGCCCTGGCTGGAAACTATCCGCAGAACAGCCGTTAGTAGCGTTCTGAGTCAGCTTGGGAATGGCCACAAATCACACGCGGATCCAAATGCAATGCCCGAGACCGAGACGACGCTTGACAAGTCCAGCATGCTCGGGCGTAATGAGCAGCTGAGTTCTAGTATGAGGGATAAAGACCAGAAGCCGGGTATTGTCATCGCGTGCTCGGCGCTGAAAGGGAGTTACCGGTCGGTGCTAAGGGGCGAAACTCTGTCGGAAGCTGAGGCGTCGAAGCATTCAAGAAAGCTTCCGACGTGCTTTGTTTATATGAAAGGCTCGCGGGAGACGCTTATGAACCGAATGATGAAACGCCAGGGACATTTCATGAAGGCTGCGATGTTGGATAGCCAGTTGAAGACGCTGGAAAGCCCCGAGAATGAGGACGGTGTGGTAACGGTGTCGATAGAGTGGTCGACTGAGGACCAAGTGCAAGAGGTGGTCAGGGCTCTCAAGGATGGAGAAGGACGCCAGCATGTGGCATCGAAGCACTGATAAGTGTTTTTTTTTACATAAAAACTCGCAATAAAGTATAGTTCTTGCAGACTTGCTTCCTTTTTGAGAGGCCTGACTACAGGTGGTGGGAGACAGGGTTATTTCTTCGTCCGGGGACAAAGATCATGCAACTTTGCATGTCTCCAACTTGAGGCCATCATCATATCCAAAATATTGGCCATGCATCCGGCTTTACGAAATCTCGAAGTGATAGACATCATTATCTCTCACACAGCTCACGGAACCCTTCCTGCACTTGCCTCTACATGCCGCATATTTCAGGACCCAGCACTTGACGTTCTTTGGAGGAATTTGTCTTCCGTGGAGACCCTCATCAGTTGTATGCCAGGTGACCTGTTTACCGTTGAGCAAGGATGCATGGTCAGTATTCAGTGTCTCGTAACTCCAGAGTGCTAATACTGAATTCACTTATGCAGGTACTACAGAAACCTCCTGACGACAAGATGTGGGACACTCTTTGCAAATACACGTCCCGCGTACGCTCGATCAGACAAACATATAGCTCAATGTCTATCGAAGCCCTTGGGTCGATACTGTTGTCTTGTCCTTTGGCACCCAGATCTCTGTTTCCCAACCTCCGTAAGCTAACATGGCGTGCCAATGGAACTCGCGGCGCAGCAGATTTCTTGCGCGTGGCTTTTGTGCCTACCCTACTGGTCCTGAATGTGGCGGTTTCTTCAGTTTCAACTTCCATTGCCTTTCTCTCGGTCCTTTCGTCTCTTGGTACCTTGTGTCCTCGCCTCCAGAGCTTGTATATGGATTACGAGCCTTTAACCGACCATTCATATTGCAAAATTATACCCTTCGTTATAAAACCTTTTTCCACACTCCACCATCTTCGCGCATTGCAGGTATGGGACATAGGGGACCAAGGTATCCAACACATTATGCAGCTACGAGCTCTGCAGTCGCTGACACTGGATTTGAACTCATGGTCAATTGGGGAGAAACGATCGTATCTGCGACTCCCCGGTTTTCATGATTTGAATTATCTGGGCCTTCATGTCAACAAGTTGGAGGATGCTTCGAAGTTCTTCGTTTCACTCGAGGTTGTCAGAAGCAGGGACATAACAGTCTTCTTTAGCCCCCGGTCTCCCCCGCCTGCATCCGCAATGCTATCTCAGTTTCTCGGCATCCTCCAAGAAAGATGCGACAACGATAAGCTTGAACGCCTCTCTCTCGTCGGATATTCGAAGGCGGTGCTCACAGAACCAGGCGTCTTCACACCACTGCACGCATTTCGCAATTTGACTCAACTGAACATCCAGGGGAGCTTTAGCATTTCCATGTCTGACGAGCAGCTATGCCAGCTGGTGAGAGCCTGGCCTAGGCTCAAGGTCCTCAAAATCAGCAGCTGGATCGTTATCGATGTCGCTACGGTACTACCCACATTCCATGGGCTAATAGGGTTGCTTCAGCTCTGCCCCGCTCTGACTTCGCTCGCTCTTGTCATCGATACCACCAAGTTGGATGGCATAGATCTCAGAAACCCCAGTGGTGGACGCTTTAATACGCTCAACTGCCTCACGCTCGGCAATTCACCCATTGATTGCCCAGTAAACGTAGCCCTCATCCTCAGCGGCCTCTTCCCCCGTCTTGAGCAGGTCAATATCGATTGTTGGAATGGATACCAGTTGTACGTGATACCGCAGAGGACACCAGCAATGAAGCAATGGGCGTCAGTCAATAGCATCCTCCGTGGCTTCAGCGTTGTAAAGGAGCGGCGTGTTGAAGCTTGATGAGGTTGTCTGGTTTGTAGGCTGTACCTTTGGACTATGTGATTGCACACTTACAGTACGCGAATTCATGTGTCGAAATTATCGTGCATGTAATCTTTGGGCGCTCAACTCAGTCCTAGAACTAGGACAACTGGCCGATCTGCGTTCTGAGAACGACTCGGAGACACCAGTGATCGCCTACTCCAACACCGCGGCAGGTTGCCCAACTTTCGGCATGAACCAGGTGAAATGCTGTTAGATGCATATATACAACTATCAATACGTTGTGGATCATGATCATATGTATGGGTAGAGTGCATGGACACAGCTCGTTCCAACACGCCCCACTCCCACTCGATCTTCATAACCATAACTCACCCACCGTTGCGGCGGATACCCGGTCAACTTTGTCATGAAATCAACATCTTGCTGCGTAAGACGCTTATGCGAAAGGAACCTAAACACGCAGCGACTCCACCTGAACGGCGTCGATTTGGATGGTGTGCAGCTTGTGGTCGTCGAGTTCATCGTCGTAGTAATCATCGTTCGACAAGCGATTACTCCAGAGGGACCAAGCCGCCCTTGGGGGCGAAACAATATTTGTGGTCTAACAAGTAGATGCCCGACCAAGATGCAATGGCTCGGAGGTCATAGACTACATGTAGCGTGGTAATTTGCAATGTCCTGACAGCGTACACATGTAGTTGCTGATGTAGGGTGCAGAACTACTTGGGGTCCGGCTAGTTCTACCAGTACCGGTTACAAACGGCAGAAATGTTGAAACTGGTTGGTTGTTTTGCCGGGTGGAAAACTTTAGGTTGTATAGATTAGTACAATGTGACGCCAGCCCCCGATGTCAAGCACTTACCATCTCAGAGAAGGTTACGAGTCTAACTGCAAGTGTCATATCAGACTTCGTGCAAACTTCCGATCTCTTCAAGTTGCGAGCGAGGCTGTGAGCGCCGAGCATCAAGTACTAAGTGCCAGAACAGCCTGAGAGGCCGACATACGCTGTAAGCAATGATACGAGGGGGCGTCCTCCAGCCTGAGCGTGCACCATCTTCTAAGAGGGAAGTTCAGAGCTGTCATCTGTACTCCGAATCGTGCATCTCTCACCAATCCCTTTTCACCGAGAGGATGTGTCGTATGACACATATGCAACTTATTTTGAGATCCAGTTGATGGAGAAGAATTCCGGGCGCAGTAAGCATTGCCAAGTAGTCTGGTGCTTCAAAGGTAAAAACGACGACAGCTGAATCACCGACAGGGAAAGCAATGTATAATGTTTGCTCTCAGCCATGGAAGGTGCAGAGGTGTGAGTGGTTATGTACGGCTGATAGTGTCGTGAAAGTGGAAACAAAGTGGAAGAGAATCTTGTGTATTTATCCATATTGTGTTTGATTTACCTACATATTTACAACATAGCACCTTGCACTTGCCTTGCACGTACCTTAAGCTTTTCGGAGCCGATCTATGTCGGAACAGTACGCACCTACAACATATGTCCACGGCATATAGGAAAGAATTACAAAATATGGGAATATCGGTATACGCTGATCCCGCTGCCGATGTGAAAGTGTTTGCCTCTAGCCTAGGGAACCGATCTACTTTGGAATGGTAAAATATAAAGGAGCCAATACCATCGACTTCCGAATGGTAAGGTACACTTACTACTCCACACTAGCCTCCCAGCCTGAAATTGCACAACCGAGGCATAATGGGCCAGCTCACTGTTTTCGGGTATCTTCGCGAACAATGGACAGAGCTTCCGATCCCCACTGCAGATGTCAGCGACCAGTCACTCATCGTAGTCGGTGCTAATGTCGGGCTCGGACACGAGGCTGCTGTGCATTTAGCACAGCTCAAACCTAAGAGCCTGTTGATTACTAGCAGAGACGAAGTCAAGTGCAAAAAATCAAAAGCAGGTATGCATGAACCCTGACTCGGAATGTTATCAAAGGACTTTATGACTTGTATAGACGTGGAGAGCCGGTCTGGCATGACTGGTATCGAATCCTGGCCTCTTGAGCTATGTTCATTCGATTCAGTGCGTTCTTTTGTGGACACTTTTGAAGCGAAGGGCTGCACAGCCAATGTTCTCATTGCTAATGCCGGCATATCGACGCTCAAGTACACAAAAACCCCGGATGGCTACGAAACTACGTGAGTGCTTTGCTAACATCGCCATTATTTCACCTCAAGAATTTCCATAGATTTCAAGTGAATTACCTGTCGACCGCTCTATTGAGCTTATTAATGCTACCTCACCTCATCAAGGCAGGGACTCCTGAACGTGCCTCAAGACTAGTTATTGTATCTAGCGAGTTTCATTACCTGGCCAACAGACTAAAAGGGGCAGACACATGGCCTAGCATCATCGAAAGAATCAACGATGAAGCATATTGTACCTCTAGGTAAGTCTCATTAACGTCTGTTCCCGGAGCACTAATAACGCGCAGCAGCGTAATGTTAAACCGCTACTCCTTATCCAAGCGTGAGTAATAGAGTACATGCGTCATTGTGCTTACCACCCCGTCATGCGCAGTCCTCGAAGTGATGTTCATCCGTGAGCTGTCTTCTCGACTTCCCACACCAACTTTAGTTGCAGCTTCGACGGTCAATCCCGGTTCTTGCCACTCCTGTCTTACGCGAGAAGTCGAATCAAATCCACTCCTCAAGTTTGCTGTGAGAACTTACAAAGGGTTGGTGGCACGCGCAACTGAGATGGGCAGTCGGACACTTGTCCATGCGGCAATCGAGCCAAATGAGAGGGAACGGCATGGTCGCTACCTGTCTAGCTGCGAAGTTGCCGAAGAGAGTGATTATACTCTCAGCGCAGAAGGGAGGGAGGTTTCGAAGCGTTTGTGGGTACGTACCTGCTCATTTTTGACTACCATGGTGCTGACTGATATCTGGCTGAACAGCATGAGACCCTTGAGATCCTTGGAGACATCGACCTCAGAGTCAATACAATTGTGTCTGAGTACCTCATTCAGGAAAAAGCATGATTTGACTGTTATTCATTTATTCGTCCAAATATTGTGTTCCGTGTCTGTAATCCACCTTTTCCAATGTGTCTTCTATATTTCTCTTCTAACTATACTTCTGTTCTTTCGCCACTATGATACGCAATATAACGAAGCATGTCTGTCGAAAACAGATTAGTACGAAATGCGCTGAGTGCGTATCTCTTCATCGAACATTCGGAGGAATACATTGCCCGTCTCGCATCACCTTCTCTTTCTATCCCGCGCGTTCTAATTGGACTGTAATTCGCAAACAATTTCCCTTCCGATCTGCTTACGCGACGATATGCAACGGATGTCAAGGGCTGATGCTAGCGTTGTGGGCAGAACTGGCAGAATAACCGGCCGGCCCAGTTCTGCTGAGTGGCATAACTCTAGCAGTGAACTATTTTTTTAAGTCAAATTTCTGTCCAGTTGGGGTATGATTTCGACTCTTGCATACCAATTGGGGAGGAGATAGTGATGAACTGCAAGGGGGGTACAATTGACTGGACAGTGGAGCCAATGCCGACCATTGCCGCGCTCTTCCAGAGAATGATATATATGGCCTGACACAGATTGACGAGTTCATGAAAGGAAGACGATCATAGATGTGAGTATCTTTGTCATTTTTGTGATGTTATTCATGACCGTTTGCATTAGATTGTGCCAATCGTGTAGAGGAAAGAGGATCAATCTGAAAGGTGATGTCCGACTGAAACGCTGCAATGCGTGGGTCAGCGTTTGCGCAACGAAGGTCAGGGAGGTGGTGTTTATACTTGCTGTCCCAAGAGTAGGCTCGCATTTCAAATAAATAAATTGATGTGGTAGCTCAGCAGATAGAGGTCGAAAAAAATTAAATTCAGCCCGATACTAACAGACAAGCAAGTGGCATTCGCGCGTCGACATATACACGTCAAATGTTAGCGTCTTGGAGCCCGAGGCACGGCGCCCTACTTAATCATAACCAAGCCATGGGGCTGACGACCTCGGTCCTGTCGCTGAAGGAGAATCACAGGTCGGTGCCAAGGGACGAGGGACGAAGCTCTGTCGAAAGTACTAAAGTGTTGAAGTACTCAGGAAAGCTTCCAATGTGCTTTATTTGCATGAAAGGCTCGCTGGAAGTGTTCATCGGATGATGAAACGCGAGGGGCGTTTCATGAAGGCTACGATACTGGATCGCTTGTTGAAGAAGCATGCAAAAATGATACTGTTTAGTCTGGTAGCTTAATTGTTTGACTAATGCATCTCCAAGATGTAAACAATGAATCCCTGGGCACTGAATCAGTTCTCGAACGACTGTATATGCATTCTGAAAGTGAAATATTACAATTGCCTACTCAGGCATGGAGGTATGCGGCTGGACGGAGCATAATACTCATTGCCTCACGAGCCAGTTCAAGGTTGAGACGAGATATCTGGTAGTAATATTTGTGTGTACATTATATGTGCCAAGTGACGAGTGAATGGGGATGTGCTCTGGGTTTATCTAAAATCAGTGAAATGTATTGAAAGTGGATATAAGCAATCACAGAAAAGCTCAACTCGAGCCTCCCGCGTTCCCTTGTGCTGAACCCGGAGGAGCGGCTCCAGAAGGTGGAGGCGTTGAATCTGCTTCCTCCATAACGCGCATCTCTGCCTCAATACGCTCCCGGGCACGCACAACTTTTGATTGGAGGTAATGAGAGTGCGTAGGCGGAGCAGGCTGTTTTCCCGCTCTTGCGCCAGTTGTCGGTGGGTCTGGGGCTGGCCGAGGACCATTCACTTTGAATAAATGTTCATAATTCTGTCATGGCGGTCAATATTACATGCAGTCAAAAACTCAACAAAGAGATATAAATTCACCTTCAACACACTCTCGAGGGTTTCTCCTTGCTTTGTGTTCAGAATGAGATGGGCCTCGTCCAGTGTCATACGGTGATCTCGTGTGAGTTTATCTGTCAAGGAGCCAGAGGTAGCATGCCGAACGCCCGCAATATCTGATCCTATTGCGCCTTGCGGGGTGTGTCTTGCATCTGCAATTGACGAAACGAAAAATGTGAACACTAGTATCGTCAAAGATGAAAACGCTAAAGTAAGCACTTTTGGCCGCCTGTTTTCCTGCTTCAAATAGTGCCTTTCCGAAAATTTGTGCACCTGTGACGAGAATTTGTATGATGATTTTTGGGGCCGACTACAGGTACCTGTCAGACCACAGACCCAACCTGAGAGCAACTATGACTCACCATCACAACCCCTTCAAAATTACTAAAAGGAAACTAGAAATGGAACATATATAAGGGTGAGCGTCGACGTTAGTGGGATTCAATGAACGAAATTTCCGAGTCAGCTATGCCAGTGTCACATGATCGACGCCGTCCAAAATTTCTGCTTGGACTGAATCTCATACCATGTCACGATGACCACATCCCTAGGCCTCTCATTACCTGCCTCAGGTCACAAGAAACGGAAGCATCGTGCATCCGATGCAAACCACGATGTACCCAGGAAGAAGAAGAAAGAGAAATTGAAACAGGACACGGGGAAGCTCCCCACCGAACCTTCGACAAGTGAATTCCGGGTGACAAAGGCAACCATAACACTATCTGTACCTCCTGTATTTGCCAGTAATCTACGCACGGGAGTGGAGGAAATGTTAGATAGCATGATTATGCGGTGCGATGGTACCTCTTCTAGATAACTTTGTGATACTGAACTAGATGTGAAGATATATCCCGTCCTTGTGTGGTGTTCTCTTGGCTCATTCAAATTTACATTTCCTAAGTCCAACAGCGAGCATAAATGCCGACTGTCCTTTCGCGATCTGTAACGTTACTTTCGATGCTACGGTCTGGAGCCCAAGTATAGCCATGAAACTTAGTACGTGCTTCGTTTGCCTTGTATCGTTTGAATCGAATAACACGTTCTTCAATAGTTGGCAAGATTATTATGTACTCTCCCGATCATGTTTCGCTTCTCCTGCACCGTACGTTTAACGTTTCCATACCACGACATCACATTCCGCAAGATGTTTGGGAATTCGAATATGGTCCTGCAGAAAATGATCCCGAGTATGGAGAGGGTGCTGTAGGGTCACCTGTCGATAAAGAAGAGGATGCAGGAATGAAGGATGGTGATGCTGAGAAGATAGATGCTGAGAAGACGGAAGACGAAGCGGTACCGGAGGCGAGCGGACAGTGGGTACACCGTTTGACGGGGACGAAGCTTGGCGGCACAGATGGGTATCTAGAGTTTACAGTCATTGGGTGAGTGGACAGTCATTTTCAATGAAAGGAAGATTGATGAACTTTTATGACAGAAAAACTGTGGCGAACGAAATGCTCTCCCTTCAGGGATCGATACAGTCTGATCCCTTTTCTGAAGAACACTCTACTACACAATCAGGGAAGAGCTCCCACAAAAAAGGTGACAAATAAGTTCAGGTTATCTGATGCTTCCTTGACCTCTGGAAGCACCTCCTATGATTTTAGTACATGACGATGCACTCCCAGGGTTGTCGCCAGTGATATGAAGAACGTCGGCCGTTTCGCCATGCAAACTAGGAGTCTGTTCGAGTTCACGTTATTCGTTCATTGCTTACAAGAGGTTTTCTTTGGGCTCTCAATGATGGAGGGGAACGAACCCCGCATAATTTAGCACCAAAGCACCATTGGGATCAATGTGATATTCCCAAAATGATCATCTTAATCGGTGTCGTGCGCCATCCCCTTGAAATTTACAGCATTTCTCCGGAGGTTCTGTTGAACTAGGAAGACTTTGAGTGCATACGCAACTATGGTCCTTGTAGTCCTAACGAGGAGCTCGAGGGGTGATGGCAGTATCAATAAAGTAGTCAACGTGTAAGAGGTAGTCAGGGCTCTTGATCAAGCAGATAGGTCAATGACTGAAATAATTAAGTTAATAATCCTATCACATATTGGATTCGGCCTTTCCCAATATTTCAGCAGAACCATGGTGCACTGCAATCAATTATGTCTATTAGATTGGCCATAGCAGAGAGCTTGCACACTCTCAGTCCATCTTTTCAAACACAGCCGTTCAAGTCAAGCAATGCAGGAAGTGTGATATTAGATAGACTAGGACATACTTTAGATACGCACATCGAAACCACTGATGATACGCCTACAACGATGGATAAAAAGGGGGAAACAAGTCGGACCTAATCATCGTCGTCAACAGCGGCAGCCGGCGGTGAATCCGGCCATTCAATGGGCTCATCATCCATGTCTAGAGGCTGAGTGTCCATCTGTACGTCTGATGGGTCGGGGTGAGCTTGGCTATCTACTAGCGTGGCGTCCTGGGTTTCTACATCCATGGCTTGGGAGCCTGCCGGAGGGCTTCGCTTTGCCTCTTCAGCCTCAGGTGTATCCTCGATTTTTTTCTTTGCTCGCTTTTCCTTTTCTGCAGGGGGTTTCGATGGCAAACCAAAGAGCGTGGTCTGTCTTGAGAGGTCCTTCTTGTCCTTTTCTTTTTCCTTGCCTTTAGCCGTAGTCGGGCCTATTAAACGATTACGGGAAGACATAAAACCAGGTTTCATCGTTGCTTACGTTTTTCTGCGACCTCAACCTTGTTAAAAAAGCTCTCGCTCTTCTGGATAGGTTTGTTGAGCTCGGGTTTTCTTGCAAAAGGATTTTTCTTGACTTCTTGCCCAATCTTCCGAGAAAATGGGTTGTCTGCAATAGATGATTAAAATGTAAGCGCGCCCAGGTTGAATAGCTATGCACGTACTAGGCTTTGGCGACGGCACTGCAGCATCGGACTCGCCAACGGCTCGCCTCTTTACCTCGACGTCGAACGTATTGGATGAGAGGTCGTCATCATTATCGTCACGTTTTCTCTTTCCCTCGGGAGACGTTGAACGAGAAGCGGAAGCCTGTGGCGCGAGCGAACGACCTGCTCTGATCGCGACACTAGACGCAGTGAACTCTGTTTGCTCGACGATCCCAGCAGATCGTGTCAGACCAGGTCTGTCGACCTTGGGTGGCGGATTGAAGTTCTGGAAAGGCTTCGGTCGAGCTAACGGAGCATCATCGTAGGCAAATCCCTGTCTCGCCTCCCTCGCTTCCTCTGCCGGTGTTGCGTTCTGTTCCCGCCACAATTTGATTGCTTCGATCTTCTCCTGCAATCCAATGAGGCGGTAGAACCCTGCAAGTTGACTCGCAGCCGCAATTGAGTTTGGAAAATGTAGTCGTTTGACGAGCTCAATCACACGCGGGGCCTTGTCAGTCTTGCAGGCAACTTGGATGAGCTTGATCAATTGTTTGTCAAGTTCAACTTCGCGTTTATCGATGTCGGGAGACGTTAGTTCGTCACCAAGGGCATCACGAGCAAGGTTGACGTGGATTCGCTCACGAGCAATACTAATGATTCATTATTCAGCAGGAATCATGAAAGCGGAGAAAATGCATACCGCTCTTCAATGGGTGAATCTACGGGGTCTTGATTACGGAATGGCAAGCGGACGGGAAGCTCTTGTATGAGAGGTCGTGGGAAGCCAGGGTATTCTTGACGACCCTTGAGATGGAGTCAGTAGCAATAGGGTATCGAAGACTGAGCCGCCTACTTTGAGAATCAGACACATGAACGTGTCTTGACTCAACCCAACAGGCCAATACGACTCATCTTTGCCCTGCTTGCGCTCTAACAAATTGGTATCCATGAGACGCACCCACGCCGCACGATTTGGGCGTCGGTGATGGATCATAAGATGTATGTAGCCGGCAGAGTCATATATTGCTGGGGCCTAGCATGCCAATTGAGAAGAGAATGTCAACGAGGATATTCACGTACCCCTTCATCCGTAGTTCCGATCCACCTCAGAGTGTGACCTTTGGGTATTGGTAATGGCTTCTCTTGAAGAACTTGAAAGTCTTCAAAAGAAATCAGCGTGGCGACCAAACTTTGGGATCCTGGAGGAACAAATCTTTCAACATTGTATTATTAAACAGCTTAAAGGCCTTACCATCAATGGTAGTCGCGCCAGGTCGGTGCACCACAAGTACATATTCCTCGGCGGAAGCCATTGTTACATATTCACCTTCCACGCCGAGAACAATTCTTTCCATACCAGAGCCACTCAAGAACGTCAGGTCTCCAGAACTGGTCGCGATCACGATGTTCCCTTGTCCCTGAATGTCACCTCCAGACGACGAAGGATCTCTCAGAGATCGCATTGGCCTCTCACCACCTGCCGCGATACCAAGGACACGCTGACCTTTCGGGAGGGCGTATGTCCAATCCCCTTGCGTGGACCAAGTACCGTAAGGTTTATATATGATTTGTGCCGGGTGATCAAGCTCAGGGGGGCAAGCAAAGAGTGCACCGCGTTCACCTGTGAGGACGTCAGACTTGCTTGTGGAAGTTATAAGAAGCTAACCAAGAGAGCCAAGGTCATATTTGAAGTGATCGGTAAAGTGGTAACCCTTGCGGGTTGATCGGTCGTGGAATTCGACATTGACGATGTGGTGAGTATCCTGGTCCGTCACCTCAATGACACCAACCATATTGTATGCTATGCTGAAATAAGTATGAGTTGTGACTTGTCAAGAAAGTCTCTTACCGAGGTAACGCTTTTTATTTTCCATAGGCGTTGACCCTGGTTGGAAAGCAGGCTGAGCCTTCGTGATGCTCACTAAAATATCGTCAATTCATTTGTCAAACATTTACCCCGGCGATTTTGGCTCACCCATCTCCTTCACGAATCCGTCACCTGAGCGCATTTCTTTTGCACCTTCAGGCTCATCTTTCATCCCATCGCCAAGATCGTCAATAATCCAGTCATCGCCATACGGGTCACCCCCCTCCGCATCTGCCTCAGGTTCTTCGCCCCACAACGGTGGAGTGGGCTTTCGCTTTGTCGTCGTCCCTTGAGCGCTGCTTGCGGCCGTTTGGCGCACGGGATCAGGTGACTCCGCTGGAATTGCATCCCGCCACCGAGAAAGAACGCCTTCTGTATCTGTCCATGCTAAGAGGTTTTCTGTAGGTGAGAAGGCGATTTGAATGGTGAACGCATTTGGGGTGCCTGGATGTCTGTAACAAGTTGTGTATGCAGAAGCAAAGACAATCACAAAAGCTTACTTCCAGAGCACCCGCTTCGTCTGCACACTCCAGACTAATATCTCTTGGTTGCAGGCGCTGGCAAGGTACACACCATTGGCTGAAAGCGCTAGTGCTGTTGTTACGCCAACGGTATTAGGATCAGACAGAGATGAAGTTTTAGTCCATGTGCTCCGCGAAATTGCGACAATTTCTAACCAACCATGAGTGAGAGTGTACTTCAATAGTATGTCCACTTACCGTGCGTTCGTGATGCTGCAAAGAAATACTGTCCTGACGGGTGCCAAACGGCAGAACAATCATGCATAAATTCCGGAGACCTTGTCGAGGGTCAGCAAAATGTCTCTGCAAATGAGGCGAATAATCTTCACTCCGGATCTACCACTTCGGGTATTACACCATCAATAACGTTCTCTACCTTGGCTCCAGTATCGGATATATTCCATGCTACTATGGTCCCATCTGAGCTACTTGTTGTCTGAAGAATAAAACCAATGAATGAGCAGTAGTATGAATTCTATCAAAAGCTCATACCAAAATGGTGCCCGATGGATGCCACGTTGTCTTTCGTATGCGTTTCCTATGCCCTCCTTCCAGTACCACCACATTTGTTATTTCATCCAAATCAACTATTTTCACCGAGAGTTCGCTAATGTGCATGAAAATAATGAGTACACACAACAGCTAATGCATGCATAAACACACTCAGAAGCGACAGCGACACGCTTGCCAGAGGGATCTACTGCTAAACACCTAATCGATGCTCCAGCAGCGCTCATCACAAGTCCATTAAACTGTGCCTTTCCAGGAATGTACTTCCGCACGTCAGAGTCGTGGCCTCCAGAGAGCCAACAGCCTTCCTGTTTTCCGTTGTCAGCTCAGACGAATCCAGGATACATGGAGAACCACGCACAGCAGCGGCGACCGCCGTAATACCCTCATCAGCTTCATATGCAGCTTCTGGCTCTTGATCCTCCCCTTGGTCAGTGTGCCATATTCGTACTAGGGTATCTAATCCTCCCGTGTACGCAATCCTAGGGAAAGAGTGTTGGGTCAGCAGCTCTCTGATCTAGAACTGACTACTTACTTCCCATCACGCGAAAATGCAATGCACGTCTGCCCTTGCTGATGGGCCGAGTTGCTGATCGCCTTAGAAGTGCTTGCCATCGTCGCTGGTCAAGGATTCAAAGTACGGGACAACACTTCACGACGCGGACGCGATGGTCACAATCACGTGATGGTGCATTAATGTCACGTCACCACTCTCGAACTAATAATTAGGAACGCATAATCTCTTATCTTGATTTCCAAACAAAGTCTCATGCGTTATGCATGTTAGCGCACATCACGCTTTCTAGTCTCAATTGATAGTAATAAATCAAACAGATAATAATACCAGCAGACGCTGGCACAGAACTGGCCGTGGTATAAGTGATTTGAACAGGAGTCAACTATTGCCCTAAACACTGCGTCCTTACAACGCGAAAGCCACCAATTAAGCAATTGACGAGCTTCCATTGCTCCATCGCCCATGGCTTCTCGAACAATGCATCGAGTGGGCCACCAATCCAAACGTCGAGATTCACCCCCGGCAGGTTGGGCAAGAGACTGTTAAGAACAAGAGCCACATCCAATGGAGAGCTAATTGGCGAGTTACCGAGGATGAGCTCTTGCAAACCATTGTTACGGTTACCGTTTCCGGGAGATTTGACGTTTATGCCATCAAGCTGCGTGGTATCGATGACAAGAGAAAGAGATACCAACTCAGGGCAAAGCCGAAGCACATTGATTAGCCCATGGAAGGTAGGCATCACAGTAATAGTGGGGTCGCGATAACAGCTCAGTCTGAGTGTTTTGAGCTTCGGCCATGCATTTACCAGCTCGCCTAGTTTATCATTGGAGATCGAGATGGTACATGCTGCCTCGACGTCGAAATGAGTGAGATTGCGAAGACGGCGCAGAGGGCCAAAATCGCCTGGTTGGGCGTATACATTGTGAAAGGTGTTGTAAAATGGTTCGCATAGTGTTATAGCCTCGAGGTTGTCGCATCGTTCTAGGAGTATGGTGCAGAACTCGGGAATGAAATTGAATTGCTGTTCAAATCCGTTAGAGGAAAAGACGGCCGTAAGATGTTTACTTTGGACGGTCCGAAGAGAACGTAAGAAGTCTGTTATATGGTCGAGTCTGATAGCTTGAAGACCCAAGAGTTCCAGACATTCTAGACCAAGTGACTGCGGTGGCAACCCCGTGCGTCGGAGAGAAGATGGCCCTATGTAAAGCCAAAGTGTCTTCAGAGACTGTAGCTGCGTAACGTGCATCATCCCTGGATCTTCAAGCTCGCACACAGTCAAGGTAGAAAGACGATGGAGCTGACATATCGCTTGTGTCAGGAAGGGCACAAGCTCACGGTTCCATGTTGGGTTGTCTACTTGAGGTCGAAAGGAGGTGAGATTAGGACATGCGGTCCCGATAGTGGACAAGATGCATATCAAGGCCGGCGAAATCGAGGCAATTCGTAGATCCAAGGAAACCAAGGAAGACACAAATGCCATACGCAAGAACTCGATTGCG